CGAGCAACTGCTGTCTCTGAGGACGCCTGGTTCCGACACCCAAGGGCGGCAGAGAAGCCAAGCTGAGCCCAACAGACACCCTCCCTGGCCTGTGACCTGAGAGAGGCTCCAGGCTGAGGGGGTGAAGCCACCGCCCCTCGCCCTTTGACCAGGTGCCCTCTGCCCGCAGGGGCCGAGCCCCGGCTGCTAAGGGCATTTAGCTGCCCGCCCTGGAGTGGCCCTCGGGCAGGGGGAGCCCCCCACGCGGGCACACCTGAGCCCGGACCAGGTGGAGGGCCGCCCGGCTGCTGGGCCTGTTTCCTCTGCCCACGCCCCCCGCGGGCCACTTCTCAGCAGGCGTGAATCACACCGCCCCGGCCCGGGTTTCTTAGAGGAAGAAACTTCGGGGACTTGAGACAGTCGCCGTCATTTCCGTCCTCTCATCCTCGCAGGTCAGGCGACCCAGGCCGTCCCAGGCAAGCGCGTGCCCCAGCATCTCATTTCCCGGGGGCTCACGCGCCTCCTCCCGCTCCCCATTCCCCGGGGCCAGGTCCCCCCCAGCCTGATCTCATCCTTGGAGGGGGAAGGAGGGGAAGGCAGGTGAGAGGGGCTCTCTCTGGGGGACGCGGCTCTGAGACGGGCTAATGACAGACTTCCTGACGGGCCGTGGGCCTGCATCTCATCAGCTGAGTCACAGTGCACGTCGGCGCCCAGGACCCCAGGGGAGGGTGTCAGGAATCATGGGGGGGAGGCCAGCCAGCCTGCAGCCCCTTTTCCATCTTCAGAGGGTTCCAGCAGCACCCCCTCCCCGACTCCCGCCTCCGCTGCTCGACCCCTTCCTGGACGGCTCCCGTCCACCCCGCCCGCCCTCCCGCCCCGCAGGACCCTGCGCGGGTCACTTGCTCACGCTTTTTCCAGCCACCCCGTTTCTTTCAAGCCGATGCCCTTCGGCCACACACATCACACAACTCGGGTCGCTGTCTGCAGCGTGGCAACTGCATCTAGGTAGGATCCTCGTGCCAACTGCCCTTGACCAGTCTGCCCAAGATGGTTCCCGAGCCGCTGGGCACCGGTGCCTCCCGTCGGGGTCGTTGCTCCCCGCAGTCTCCCCTTCCGGCAGCGGTGGCTACTGAGGGACTTTTCCATTCACGTTTCAAACAGGCGTCTTACATGAAGTTCCGTCTGCCGAGCCGTTATGGGGGGAACATCTTTTATTTGAGGGTGTGAGATGATGAATTTTCCAGAACGCTGCTGTTTAGATCATGAATTGTTCATCCATCATCACTTTTTTGTGCCTCTGGCTCTGCTTTGCATGGTGGGTCTGGACCCCAGGGGAGGTTTCTGGTCAGGGAGTTGGGTTGTGGTTTGCAGCCGCGCCGGTAGGTCACGGCCGCCTCAGGCAGCTGGAGACAACCTTGGCGCCCGCGGCACCGTCCCCGCAGGTGATTTTAATAGCCCGCGGGGGAAGCAAGCCAGCGGGGAGACAGGGCTTGGCCCCCACATATCTCTGTATGTCTTTCTTCTCTGGAGTTCTCTGGCGGCGCTTCCTTGCGCTACCGCGCCTCGCCCTGTTGTAGCCGCCCCCCAACCCTGTCCGCAGGCCTCCTCCCTCCCGGGAGACCCCGTCTCGGAGTGACGCTGCCCTTACAGGCTCAGCCTCCAGGCTCAGGTGCGCCCACTTAAGCACGCCACGCGTGCTCCAGGTGCCGCCATCAGGCACACGTGCCCCACACCCCCAAGCTCCGGCATTCAAGGCCACAGGTGATCGCCAGAGGCTAGTGGTGTAAAAGCCTGACCAATCACCCTCTGCGGCTGTCCCCCCAAGATCAAGGCCACTGGTGCCCCTGGACCTTGTGCAGGATTCCAGCTCAGTGGCGGGATTCTAGGTCCCGTGGTGACAGCATCCAGGACACCCAGGTAGAGGGGACTTGGGTTTGCTCTTCCCATCCTCTGCCACCTACGGAGCATCTCAGTGGTTAAAGTTGGTGACTTTTGGGCCTCCCTGGTGGCCCAAAGGGTTAAGACGCAACCTATGACGCTCTCCACAATCACTGCAGCATGAATTCAATCCCCGGCCAGCCAGGGAGCTACCCACACGGCGCAGCAGACCTCGCCTGTCTTGCCCGCTGCTCCCCTCAGCAGTGAATCAGTCAATCTGCCTGTTCTGCCCCCCACTCCGTCTCTGGTGAATCCTCTCACCCCCCACACCTCTGGCCTGTACCCCAGCTCTTGTATGCATAAATAAATTGTAGCGTAAGGTAAGAGGTATCAGGCTTTTCTGCCCTCCCGCCATCAGGATAGATGAGGGAACCCTGTGATCCTGAATGCGTGCCTGATGGCGGGCGCCTGGAGTGGGCACACCTGCACTAAGACTGTGCTTTTAAGGGCAGCGTCACAGGGACGCCAGAAGCCGAGAAAGCAGCAGCAGAAGCCGAAGAGAAGCCGAGAACGCCAGAGAGCCCAGATAGAGTGAAGATTTGCTGGGGGCTGGGAGAACTGCCAGCCTCCCAGCCCCCCAGCGCCCCTGCCTGCCACGTACCCGCTGAACCCCAATAAAAACCTGTAAAACCACTGAGGACTCTGACTCCTCCCTTACCCGGTCTGCATGGGATCAGAAAACCTGCACTGTGTCCATCCCTGACTTTCATAAATCTTTACCAAAAAAAGTTGGTGACTTTGGAGTAACTAAGATGGGCTCTTCATGGATGAGTCTCAGCTTCCTCCTTCTTGCAAGAGTTGTAAGGATTAAATAGTGCTTCGCACCACTCCCAGCACTGTTCGGTACAGAAACTTTGGAATACAAATGGGCGACCTTCTTGATTATACAAACATGCAAAAACCATGGACGTGTAAACTGGGTCCACCTGCTGGCCTTTCCACAGTGGAGGGAGGAGGGACATGGTTCCCGAGGCCCCACGGGCCAGCCCTTGCCGCTCAGACTGCTTGCTGGTGGGACCAAAAGGTTTCAGATTTGGGGCTAGCACCCCAGAAATGGAATGGCTGCCTCGGAGCGTCCACACCCATGTAACTTGGCTCGATATCATGTTCTCCATTAAAGACAGGCCACACCCCTAACACTCCCACCAGCCGAGCATGACAGGGCCAGTTAACCCACAGCTTTACCAACAGATGGGGCCAAACTTGCAGGTCTGCGCTGCGGCAACAGGCAAGAAAAAAAAAAAAAGGCAATTCAGGGCCCTTTCCTTCATTGTATCAAGAATATTATGAGTTATGGGCATTATGGGCATTTTAAACATTATGACATGTTTAAAAGGCCATTTACCTTCCTCTGTGACTTTATTTTTAGAAGCTATACCTCAGGGATATGAACCGTTGTAATGCAAGTCACATCTATTTCCCCAGTTTGTAATTTGTTTTTACTTTGCTAATGGTTCGTTTTGGTCACCTAGGAGGTTCTGTTGTAAAAAATTTTTTAGGTAGTCAAATTTACCAATCTTTTCCCTGCCAGTATCTGGATTTTGTGTTTTTCTCATTCCCAGGCTTGCAGGAATGCCCTTGTTTGCTGTCTTCACCTTCCAGCGACGCCAGGCCCACTTACCGGAAGCCCCACCCTTCCCGGCCCAGAGCCCGTCTCTCCGCCAGCAGAACCTCCGGGGGCAGCCAGGCCTGTGTCTGGACCGTCATTTGTTTCACTGTTCTGGGCATTTATAGGTTAGTTCTTCCCGCCCTCAGCCCAAATCTGGAAAACGAGGCTTTTCCTGGTTATTCTGGCTCTTTCCTCCACATGATCCTTCACCAAGAATAGTGTCTAGTGACCAGGATAAATGGCTGTGAAATGTTAATGGAAATGGTGCAACAGACCCTCACCATGTACACACCCAACTTTTCACAGTAGGAAAATGCTGGGAAGGGAAAAAAGCAAGGTTTGAGCGGCCATCACCTGAGTGTGGTTCTAGGCCTCACTATCACGTCATGAGCACAAACCTTGATGGAAGGAACTTGCCAATGGCCACAAAGCTGCCTGCTCACCCTGCGTTCTCCCCTCATTCCACTCCAATGGTGATCTCTGGGCCATAGCACCTCTTTGTAAGGGAGCTTGTGGGTTGTAACGGGGAGCCCGGGGTTCAGGGCTCTCCCAGCTGGGGAAGGGGTCTAAGGGATGGGAAGTATGGCAAAGCTCAAGCACACCCCATTATCTATTGCCCTACTCTTCACTATAAGCTCCCACCCCACCCCCACCCTCCTACTCCCAGGTGACAGGTTTCTAAGGTGAGAGGAACATCAAGGGCGAGGGTCACCAAGTTCTCCTTTTGCCCCAGTACTGTCCAAGAGAATGTTCTGCAAGGGTGGAAACTGAAAGGTCGATGCAGGGGCCAGGAATGAGGACGCCCACACAGAAAAAACAAGATGGCCCTGACACCAGGACCACTGATACCATCAAACCAAAACTGAAGCCATAAACAGGAGAAAAACAACTCGGCTCGAGAAACAACTTTGTTCCGCCTAAACCTGTTTCCCCCACTGCCAACCCAGTTTTCCTGCCTAACCTCTCCTCACCACATAAAAGGACATCTCCCCGCCCCCCAACAGGCGCGACTTCACGGACCCCCACTTTACGGACCCCCACAGCTCGCCCAGAGGTGCAATCAATTCTCCCTTCCTTTGAGAAAGTTTAGCCTGGCTCTCCTTTTCTTTACCGCCGAACCTTTCGGAAATGTTCTGTATCTGTGCAGTCCAACTGGATGGCCACCAGCACAGGCAGTTATTAAGCACCCCAAATGTGGCTGGTGTGATTGAGGAACTGAATTTCTATTCACTCTTAACAGCCACATGTGGCCAGCAGCTGTTACAGTGGACAGTGCATTTCTGGCCCAGTCTACTCCTTCCAGCCGAGAAACAGGAGACATCCTGCCTATGCCTGAGCCAGGAGGCTCAGAGGCCAGTCAGGTAGTGCAGGCTGGGGGAGGGCAGGCAGGAAACTGAGAGGGTCGAGGGGCCAGCTGGGAAGGAGAGGCCCAGCCCCAGGCGCCCCACCCAAGCCCCACCCTTACAATGACCAAGCAGAGCATCACAATAGCGTGGCCAGCAGGAGGGGAGCGGCAGCCTGGAAACTGCGGGTGTTTTCCTCCAGGAGCAGGTCCCTTTGTCTGCAGACCTACTTACAGCAGCCTGGGCAGCGGCAGGGAATGGAAAAGCACCCAGCTGCTGGGTGGCCTCAAGCTGGAAACCCAAAGGAGGAGGCAGGGCAGGTGTGGGCATAGGGGGATCTACCGGGCCCCCAGACCCAGGTACTACAGGGTCCCCCGTGCTGCCAGGAGCTGGACCAGGCTGTGAGCACTGAGCACATGCTCATCTTCTTCCTGGCCATTTGGTTCTTCTACTTCTATCTTCAGGACATCTAATGAGCCTCCCTTGCTAGAGGCCAAGAATAACCAGAAAGAACCCACCCAGCTGCAATGTGAGAACACAGAGGCCTGGGCTGGGGTGGTCTTGGCCTCACAGGAAGGACAGCCAGGACTTGGAGTAAGGCCTCCCCGATTCCGGAGATATCCCCGGGGCCTTGCCTTGAAAAGCCTCAGGATGCCGTGGCCCAGCCTCTGCTCTCTGAGCACCTCAAACAGGCTTGAGTAAATCATACAGGAGACGTGAAGGCACATGCCCCAGGCCCTGTGGCCAGGATGGGGGCAGCAGGGTCACCTCAGGGCTCTGAGATTCTGAGACTTCCCAGTCAATGGAGTCAGCTCAGCACGTTCACTGGTTAGCTGCTTTATGCCGGCCCGGGCTCCAGCAAGAAATAAACTATCCTCTGGGCCTAGTTGGTAGCAAGAGAAATGTTATTCCCATTTTCATAGGAAAAGAAACTGCCTTGGGCTCTGGTGGGGCAGACAGGACACCTTCCACAGGACACCTTCCAGAGATGGTAGCAACCTGCCAGCGGAAAGCCAGCCACCACCCTGAGGCCAGACAGGCTGAGGTTAAGAGCCTCCCCACCCGCAGGAGCAGCAATACTTGGCTACAGAGCACTTCTCTAAGAACAGAGCACCCATGGAGGGTAAAGCAAGAGCCTGGAATGGCCCAGACCCATAAAGCCAAGGGCAAAGGGGAGCCTCGGGAGCCCAGGGGAGACCCCAGTGATGCAGACCCTGAAATCGCCTTGAGGCTGCAGCAGGAAGTAGTGGGAAACACACGATCACCTCACTGCAGAAACCTCTGGGGACACAAAAATCCCCTGGGAACTCTTCAAAGCTCAGGCTCCTGAGCCCCAACTCCAGATCTAAAATTTTAGATCAGCCCAAGAATCTGAATTCTTAGTAAGGTCCCCACTTCCCTCAGTGTAAGGGATCCAGTTCCCTCTGCTGCGAACGCAAAGCATGGAAGGGGGAACGAACGGGGCTCCCTCCCTAGGGCTCCCCTCGAAGCAGCCAGGCAGCAGCGCAGGGCTGCAGGCAAGGAGGGACAGCAGAAAGCTCAGAATCCTGGGTGGCATGAGGCCCCCATGGCCTGTGCACAGGTCCCCAAGAGGAAATCTCCAGGACAAAATTCAAAGGGTCACAGGTGCTCTTCTCCGGGGGTGCTCAGAGGAAAACAGGGAGCCGCGTGCTTCCTCCCTGTATTCTTCGGGGGACTAGACTCCAATCCACACAGCAGACAGAACTGTAGCAATATTCATGTGCTACAAACTAAATAAAACTAAACTTTGAATGGAAAAAACCAGAGTCCACGCACAAGTGGCTTTCCTGACAGGAGCCCGGGCACAGCGCGGCAGCTGACCGAGCGAGGAGGAGGGAGGCCGCTCGTCCCCGGCCACCATCAGGCACACCTGATGACGTGACTTCTTGTCCTTTTTGGGCAATGACCCAAATTACCACCTGCCAGGGAGGCAGTGACTGCTCAAGGCTGCCCTGACTGTCCCATGTCGTGTGGGTGCAGGTGGGGCACGGCCCACCACGAGGACGCGCACAGCTGACATCAACCAGTGCTTTATTAAGGCTCGGAGCGGGCTACCGGCTGAGGGGCTGGGCCATTTACTCCACAGACCCCACGTACCCCCACAGTCTACTATTGGGTGGCTCACTTTGAGCTCCTGAACTAGTCTATTGTGTTCCACTCACAACCACCCTGCACGATGGGGGTGCACAGACAACTTGGGGGAGGGACCCTCAATAGGGGCAATCTTCCTGCCCAAGGTGGGGCTGGCTCTAGAAGGCCCTGAACTCGGGCAGGGGTGTGGCAGGGAGGCAGAGGAGGGCAGGGACATCTCCCTCCCTCCCAGCCCAAACTATGGCTTTGTTATCCTGTTGCCACTGGCGCAGGAGTAGCGTGGCCCCTCTCGACCCCTCACTCTGGGCCTGTGCGCTACACTGTAGAAGGAGACAAAGAGCAAGTCCCCTGGGAAGGAAGAGGCTGCTCAGGGACCTGCTTGAGGCTCCTCTGTGCCTGGCCCCTGGCCAGACTTCAGGGGAGCTCTGACCCCCCATTCCTGCTCTCCCTCAACTCCTCCCAGCAATAGGTCTTCTCAGGTGATACCCATCACTCAAAAATGGACCCGCAGCACGTCCTGGCTGGCGACTGGCCGCTGGCAGGCTGAACACGTCATGGGCAGGGCACGCTGCTTCTCCCCCAGGCAGGGTCGGCACAGAAGATGGCCACAGGGAAGCTGGTACACAGGCTCCTTTTTGAAGTAGGGAGAAAACAGTCTTTTGCAGGAGGCACACTGGGGGCCCAGGATGCTCCCAGGCTGCTCTGGTAATCAGGGAAGAAAAGAGGCCAGGGTTAGGGAATGCGGCCCCCCTGCTCCAGGCTTCACAATGGAGGCAAGCAACCGCCCGGAGTGGGACAGAAGCCGCCTCTCCCTCTCACCCTCCCGCCCCAGGCTGCCTCTGGCTGGTGTGGGAAGAGAGGATAACAGGGAGCCTCTTCCTGACTGACTGAATCTCGGGGCTCCTATAAATGGCTTCTGAGCACAACTGGGTAACAGCAGTCCCTCCTCCCAGCCTCCCAGCAAGATTTACTTCCCCACCGGAACAGGCCACCAAGGCCAGAACCAGGCACAAGTTCACCACAGGACCCTTAATAAACTGCAAGGAAGGCATGATATGATAAACAAAAGTAAGAGCAGAAAATGGTCAAGGGGTGGGGAGGGAGGTCAGCAGAGGGGCAGGGCTGAGGTCTGTCTGTAGCACACCTGCCTGCTGGGCCTGGGGCCCACTTATCTTCAGTCCTGCAGCCCGCAGCTCTCCTCCCCGTGACCATCAATCCCCGTGCCACGCTGGCCCCTTGGGCAGGCGCGTTCTCCTTCCATGCTACCCGAAGGGCCTCCTGAATGAGGACCACAGTCCTGCCACCCCCACCCCCGCCCCCACGAAGCTGTACCCGCTGCTCTTCCTTCTCTCCTGGTCCTGACCTACGGAGGCTGCTCTTTCTCCCAGGCACACCCCGCTGGAGAGGGCAAGGATGGCCTCCTTGGGGACAAACCACAAAAGGGCCAGTAAGTTACCACTGTTCTTTTCTAAGACAAAGATAAAAATGTTGCTAGGAAGGGATGAAGATGACACATAACCCCAAACCCCCGTCACACGTGCCTAAGTCCCTAGGTGTCAGACAGGAAGCAGACTAGATCAGAAACAGGAAACAAGAAAGGAGACCAGTTCACAGAAATACTATGAGCGGACAAAGAAAGCCTTTTGGGTAGAGTTAAACTTGAAGAGAGCCCCTCTGCTCCCCTGGAGAAGGAAAGAAACCAGGTCCTCCCCAGGACTGGGCGGGGCGCTAAGGAGGCTGGACGAGGGTCAGAGTCAGATGGCAGGGCCCAGCATCCTGTCCGAGAGCTCCAAGGAGAGGGAGGGCCCATGTTACCCGAGCTGGTGCCTGGCCTCCAGGAAGTGCTGCTCCCTTTTGTACTGGGGTGCTGGAGTTGCCCCCTAGTCAGCCGAGCTGTGAAGGAGGGCATGGAGCCAAGGGTCGACGTCAAGGCAATTTCTAAGCTTTGTGACAGCTTCTGCTCATGGGACACTGGACCTGTCAAGAGATGCACAGAGCACGATATCCAGAGAAATTTAGCAAAAAAGCAGACCAAACTACAAGTCCTCTGAGGATCACAAAACAGCACTTTCAAGTTCAAACAGACACAAATGTAAAGCAATTTCTCCATGTAAAACCAGGAGCAAATGCCCTGGGGACTCTGGCGGTTCCCACCCATCCCGTATCACTGCCAGGGTTCCCGGGCTCCACGCCAGTTTTCTTCTTCCTGAACAAAGTACTGGGCAGGCACGAGCCACCTCGTGGCTCATCTGCAGACCTGCACCCTTTCCCAAGACCTCCCTGCTCACTGCCAAGGAAATTGACAGACAAGCAAATGCCCAGCTTCGCACCATGCTCCCTGCCTAGTCCCTCCCCAGCAGCTGCCTTGGTCTGCTTTCTCCCATATCCTTCTTCCTGGGGCCCCACCACTTTGCAGGGCCACTGGCCTGCACTCTAGGGGTGTGTATCTTTTCTCTCCTAGAAGGTAAAGCAGAGCAACTGTTACCTAGTAGAATAATGAACAACATACCTCGGTCTCCCCCAAGATCTAGGCGCTAGGGGCCTGCTGTGTGTGGCCCACTGAGAGCAAAGCTGTGGATGAGAGTAAAGGGAACCACCCAAGCAAGGACCCAGAGACCTGACCGTGGCAGGGTTTGCCTCTAAGAGGGGAGCAGAACATTTTATCTATAGTTTGGAGACTAGGATGTCAGCTTGGGGTCTTGACATGGTGCTGCGTGGTGCTGTGTCATAACAAACATGGGGAGGTCAATACCACTAGAGACCTCCACAGACTCCAGGGCTAAGGACTTTCCTCCTCATCTCCCTGCAGCTCAGACGCTTCCAGCAATTTCTGGAGGTCATGTTAACGAATTTATGCTCAAAACCAGAGAATTCACAGATATAATACTTAAGTATATTATTTACACAGGGTTTTTAGAGTAAGAAATGAAATTAAAAGAATGATAAAACCTAAAGAGACTAATTTTCATAAGGAAAAAGCTGTCAAAGTGCTAGCTCCAAAAGCACAAGGGTGAACATTTTACCAAACGTGAACCAAGTAGCACGTTAAAGATGCATGACCAAACGGGGCTGGTTCCAGGAATGTGGCAATGGTCCAACATCAAGAAGTCTATAAATGTACTTTTTCACATTAAAAGATCTAAGGATGTAAAATCATGTTATCTCCATTAACACGAAGAAGGAACTGGACAAAATTCAACCACCAATCGTGGACAATAAAACGGAATAAAACAGGAACTCAGAGTGTGGAAGAAGAGCTGAAGCAGCTCCCAGTGAATGCCACCTCCTAATCTAGTATTTGTGCCCCTGGGTATCCCATCCCCTTGAGTGTGGCCGGACCTAGTGACTTGCGTCTAACAAAGTGAATACAGTAAAAGTGATGGGATGTCACTTCCATGAGGTTACAAGTCTGTGACTTGTACCATGTTTGCATTCTCTGGGTGCACCGCTACCAGGTCGTATGCGGCCCTTGAGAGGCCCATGTGGCAAGGACTGAATCCTGCAACAACCACATGCATGAGCTTCGATATGAATCCTTCCCCAGTCAAGGCCTGAGACTTCTGCAGCCCTGCCAACACTGATAGCAGCCTTGGAAGACCCTGAAGCAGATGATCAGGCAAGTCATGCATGGATTCCTGACTGCTGAAGCTATGAGGTAACGTGATGCTTCAAGCCAGTTCAGTGTTGGAATATTTTAAAGTGGCAAAGCATAAAGCAAAGGGCAACAGTGCCAAGTGCTACCTGAGAGGGTAGGAATGACAAGAGGCGTGGACTCAGATGGTGGTGGTTACCTGTTGAGCAGTCCATGTGTGTCAGACCAAGTTCACTGGCAGTTTTCATTTTCTTAGCAGTGTGCTCTGAGGTAGTGGGTGAGACCAGAAGGCTTGTTGTAGAAAAACAGGAAGCATTTATACCAAGGCTGCTGTCTGGGGCATGTTCAGCCTGCTCCATCTTCCTTTTCCGAGAAGGCAGAACAATGGCAGAAGGAGTCACTGCCAGTGCAGTCTGTGTTCTCCCAAGCAGATGGCAGCCGGGGATGGAGTGCTGCAACAGGAAGTGGTCAATCCGGGCCTTCAGGGAGGGATGAGGCAGGGGCTGAGACTGTGGAGTAAAGGCCACCCCTGTGAAAGGGTCACTGGGCACTCGGCCCCAAGTGGCTTCACTGCGGTTACACTTCTCCAGCGTGCTCTGGTCGATGACCTTGCCTGAGGGCAGCAGCATGGGGCAAGGCATGATCTCCAGGGTGATGGGATCCAGGAACTCCTCAGGTACATCCCGAATTACCTCAGTCAGCTCGTGTAAGCTGGAGAGGTCCTGCTGGTCCTCCGACTGGTCCCCTGGATCACAGTCACTCTCCATGGGCAAGGCTGGGGCCTGCAGGGCCAAGTCCTGAGGGAGGCTCTCTGAGGCAACCAGCAGGACGCTGTCTATCACCTCCTGAGAGCAGGTTTTGGCCGGCTGACCCCATACTTCCAACCGCCTGATGCAAGGGATGCCACTGCCTGTCACGTGGGTGATACATATCTTGAGATGGGCCACAAAGCTAAGAGAAAGAGCCCCTTTATTCCAGAGTTCTTGAGTCACAACAGCAGGGGAGGGGAGTGTGGCTTCCATTGGGCCAAAAGGAGGCCTGGCCTTGAAGCCCCTGTGGCTAAACACCACTTGGCTTTGATTTTTCAACAAGACTTTGCCTACCAAAGTGAAGGCCTCCTTGTCTGGGATGGATGGCTCAGCTGGGCATGGAAACTCAGGGGTATTCCAAGATGCCCTGCTGGATGAGGCAGACGTGTACATTTCCACGCCAGTGACATTCTGGCCTACCCCAGCTGTAAGATCTATGTTAATCCTACAGATTTCCACGTTGAAGGGAAAGGAAACTGTCACATAGACTGGTGGCTTAATGAAATACTCTGTCCTAAAACCACGACTTCTCTTTGTGAGATCCTCTGAGATGAGATTTTCAACTTCGTAACCATCAGCTGATATCTAAATTTAATGACAAATATGAGAAAACGGATTTGATGAGATCCAAAAGAAGACAATCAGTTCTCAAGAACCCACTTCTCATTTCAAATTTCCATGATCACATTGAATTCTCCTGGGTCTTTTTGCAGGCACCCAAGATCACATCAGGCCAAGGGGAACTGTACTTCCAAGTACTGACCATCCTTAAAAAACACGAGCAACGGGGCCTCCCCGGTGGCACAGCGGTTGAGCGCTGGGTTGCTAAGCTGCCCGCGGCCACTGCGGTGCCGGTTCGATCCCCGGCTGCTCCCCGGCCACCGGAGGAGGGTCCCACATGGCATGCAGACCTCTCTGCCGCCCGCTGCTCCCCTCAGCAGTGTACTTCGGTCCTTCTGCCTGCTCTGCTCCCCGCTCTGGCTCTGGTGAATTCTCGCCCCCTCCCGCGCTTCTGACTGTACCCAGTGCATGTATAAACCAAACAAACAAACAAACAAATAAATAAATAAATAAGACACGCCTCTAGAAAAAATTAAAAAAAAAAAAAAGTAAAAAAAACCACGAGCAACAAAACTCTACCAAACTCAAGCAAAAATCCCGTCAAAATAACATCTGTGTGAAAAGGGGCAGATACACTACTGGTTTTATATTTCAGGAGATGAAAACATGCAGATCTAGGGGAAAACAAAGACTTTCATTAAAATTCTCAATTTGGTATTTTTGCCCCACTAACTGTACCAGTTTCCCTAGGAAGGCATAACAAACAAGCTTCCTAAAAATCTACGAGTGATCAAACTTGGTAAAAACAATGTACACTGGAAAAAAGTCACAAAATACTGGGAAATTTAATAGTGATATGCTTGGGCAGAGGGACCCCCAAGCAGGGTCAGACTGTTAGTTGGTTCCCCCCCCCCTTTTTTTAAAGATTTATTTTTATTTATTTATACAAGCACTGGGTACAGTCAGAAGCGCAGGAGGATGAGAGAATTCACCAGAGCCAGAGTGGGGAGCAGAGCAGGCAGACTGAAGTACACTGCTGAGGGGAGCAGTGGGTGGCAGGAGAGGTCTGCGTGCCATGTGGGACCCTCCTCCGGTGGCCAGGGAGCAGCCAGGGATTGGGGATCGAACCGACGCTGCAGAGGCTGCGGGCAGCCTCGCAACCCAGCGCTCAACCGCTGCGCCACCGGGGAGGCCCGGTCCCCTTTTAATATTTCTAATATTTGTTACAATCAATGGAAATTTTATGCTATCTCTGTGCAAAGGAGTCAGCTTAGCAATGCGGGAAGCTGAGATAGTACTCTGTATGCAGAAACTCCAATTAGGGGAGAGGTTCAACAAACTCCTTGGAGTTTCTCTACTCCCTGCATTTTTATAAAAGGGGAGGCAGCTTAACGTACATAAAGAAAAAGGAATCCAAGTAACAGATATAAGCCATTATTTCTAGCATTAGAAATTAGCAAGATCTGGGGAAAAGAGTATTTCTATCTTCACCACGACTTTGAGAGGAAATGAAATTTATCAGAGGAAGAACACAATGAATATGACACTCTACAAAACGAGTGACAGGTCCCCCGGAATGGTGCTGTGTGACTCTATAGGTGCAACCTGCCCCATACCTAAATCCCATCTGGTGGCATCAAAAATGAGAAGGCACATTAAACCCGACAAGGCAGCAAATGGAGAAAGCATGAAAGATGTCATCTATTTATATGCATATACTTGTTTTCTTTACCTTGTTGCAGTAAATTCTCGGTCTGAATTGTGGGAGGCAAAGATTTATTACCATCTTTGTGGCCGAAAGGATAGCTTCCCAACATCAGAAATAGCCTTAAATAAAAAATAAAATTTGATATTAGACAAGTTAAAGTTCAATTCTAAACTTTTAAGAGTTGATTCCCAAGCAAGGAGGATCAAACAGGACAGCAACAAAAGCTGTAACACATACAGATTCTCGTGGGCTGACTCACTCTCTGGACCCTACTCATGATGCTAGGAAATAGCCTACTGCAAACTGAGAAGCTGGCACTCTGGAGCCAAGGGCCCGTCAGCTCTGCAAGGGCCTCCCCACAGGTAACGGAGGTCAAAAGTAGCTGAGCTCAGACAAAAAACAGGACTATTTATCTAGAGGGCTTAGAATGAAAAGGGTCACTGGAAATCTTCAGTGGTTTTAAGGAATCTTTGTCACTTTCAAGGTAATTACATTTTCTTATTAAAATGAAAGCAATTACAAGAGTCAATACAAAGCCTTAGGGTTGGAAAGTACCATACAAGGACATCTAACCAAGCCTTTTTCTTTCCTTTTTTATAAACAAACAACCTTTCTAGTGAGCCACGTCCAGGATTGGGAATGGGTAAAGGTGGTTAATGGTACATATTTCTAGCCGAAAGAGGAATCCAAGTTGCGGGCCATAAAATATGACATGGTGACTGCTGTGAATACTGTAATGTGTATCTGAAAGTTGCTCAGAGATTTTGGAAGGTTTCCATCACACAAAAAATGTCTGACTATGTGAGGTGATGGATGCTATCTCGACTTACTGTGGTAAGTAGATTACTTCACAATACACACATTATGTCAAATCAGAGTATTCTATGTCAAATGCATCTCAATAAAATTGGAAGGAAAAGACGGTCAGTGTCCAACAGATTCTGGTACTCTAGACAAGTAGGGCAACACTAGAAAGACCCCTTCATTGCCAGGCCTCTCCAGCACATTTGAACTCCTTGCTTGAGGGCAGACATCTATTCTATGCTTTTCCATCTGACAGGCAAGGACATGAAAAACTGCCAGCCACCCTCTGGGGTCATTGTGTTGTCAGGATCAGTAGGTTCCCTTTGCAGAGGCCAGGTGCACTGGGCACCCCACAACATTTTAGTGGGTAAAATGCAGAGTGAAGATCTGCCTTGGGACCTTTAAATGTTTGCATCTCAGCACACAAAGAGTACAAGCCAGAGTCCCTCACTCTGGTTACAGCTAACACAAAGTATTATTCTAAGATGGTTTTAATATATGCTGATTTTTCTTGAAAGGTAGCTTCCGTGTAAATCATAGGAAGATCATACTTTTGTTTTGCTGGGATCTTTACCAAGAGGCTTTTATCATTTCTAAAAACTACATCACTGACAGTCTACATTTGTATAGCATTTGACATGCCAGGTGATTCTATATGTTGGTAAGAGCTTCTGATTACTTCTTTGTACTTCTAGTATGGTCATATCCAAAATTTAAATGAGAGCAAATTTTATTATTACACTTTAAAATTTCTCCTTTCGGGCCTCCCCTGGTGGCTCAGTGGTTGAGCGCCAGGCTGCAAGGCTACCCGCAGCCTCTGCAGCGTGGTTCAATCCCCAGCCACCAGCGAGGGTCCCACATGGCGCGCAGGACCTCTCCTGCTGCGCCTGCTGCTCCCCTCAGCAGTGTACTTTGGTCCTTCTGCCTGTTCTGCTCCCTGCTCTGGCTCTGGTGAATTCTCTTACCCTCCTGCGCTTCTGACTGTACCCAGTGCTTGTATAAATAAATAAATAAATCTAGAGTCTAAAATATATATATATATTTTATATATATATAATTTCTCCTTTCTATTACTGGTAAGGCATTTGTGTGTATTTATGTATGGGTGTAAGGATGACTATATGCGCATGTACCTATACACACATGCAAACATATTATGTTGTTTTTAAAAAAATGTCAGTTGTATGGTTTTTGTTTTTTGTTTTTTAATTTATTTATTCATACAAGCACTGGGTACAGTCAGAAGCGCGGGAGGGTGAGAGGATTCACCAGAGCCAGAGCGGGGAACAGAACAGGCAGAATGACCGAAATACACTGCTGAGGGGAGCAGCGGGTGGCAGGAGAGGTCTGCGCACCATGTGGGACCCTCGGTGGTGGCCAGGGATCGACCTGCGCTGCAGAGGCTGGGGGAAGCTTCGCAGCCCAGCACTCAACCACTGTACCACCAGGGGAGGCCTGGTTATATGTTTTTTTTTAAAGACTTAGCTGCTCTTTTTTTTTTTAAGATTTATTTATTTATGCATACAAGAGCTGGGGTACAGACCAGAGGTGTTGGGGTGGGGGTGAGAGAATTCACCAGAGACAGAATGAGGAACAGAACAGGCAGATCTACTGAAGTACACTGCTGAGGGGAGCAGCGGGCAAGTCAGGTAAGGTCTGCTGCGCCATGTGGTTTGCTCCCTGGCCGGCCAGGGATCAAACTCGTGCTGCAGAGGCTGCAGATTGCTTCATAGTGTGGTGCTTAACCCCTCGCACCACCAGGGAGGCCCTGTATTTTTTTTTTAAAAGATTGTATTTATTTTTGTGAACTGGGGTGTACGCCAGAGCTGCGGGAGGTGAGAGGATTCACCAGAGACAGTGGGGAGCAGAACAGGCAGATCTACTGCTATGGGAAGCAGAAGGCAAGACAGGAGAGGTCTGCTGTGTTGTATGTGGGTTAGCTCCCTGGCCGGGGATTGAACTCAGGCCATCGCAGTGATAGCACTGAGACTTAACCCCTAGGCCACTAGGGACATCCTATCTTTAACTTTAAATTCAGGGTACCAGAAGGAACATTACAACATATTATTAAAGGGAGATAAATCTGATGGAGGTAGAGAATTCTTATGCTAAAATCTCCTGTTTTTTGTGACCTGTTGAAACTCCTAGTGTTTTTCCCATTTTTTGAGGACTACAAGTCCTATCTTTGCCAGAACATTCTAGAATCTTTCTTGAAAGATTTCTATAAACATGGACTAGTTTATATAAGTCCTTTTTTTTTTTTAAATTGTTATGAACAATGTCTCCAGGTTTTTGACACTTTTCTTATTTGCCACAAAAGTACAAAAATGAGGGCTTGAAGAACAGTATCTGCAAGTATTCTCAGGGCACTTCTAGATACTTCCTCTTGACCAAGAAACCAGAAGACACTAGAGCAGCATTTTTTTCAATTCTCCTGCCCAATTAGGACAGTGACTTCTTGTTAAGTTTTTGCTTTATTTTAAATACAAAAATACAGCTATTAACTTTGACTGGATATGGAAGTACTAAAAAGACAAAAAAAATAGGGCATACCAGGTGGTGCAAGGGTTAAGTCTCAGCAATATCACCTCTATGGCCTGAGTTTGATCCCTGGCCAGGGAGCTAACCCACTGTGGGGTAAGGTAAAAAGTATCAGACTTTTCTGCCCTCCTGCCATTAGGATAGATGACGGAACCCTGCGGTCCTGAATGCATGCCTGATGGCGGGCACCTGGAGTAGGGTATGGACATAGGTAGATGGGATTCGACTGGGCTTTTAAGGGCGGCATCACGGGGACACCAGCAGAAGCCGAGAGAGAAGCAAGAGAAGCAGAAGCTGAGAGAAGGCTGGAGAGCCCAGAGTGAAGACCTGCTGAGGACTCTGATTCCTCCTTTACCCAGTTTGCTGGATCATAGAAAACCGGCTCAATGGCCTATCCTGCCCCTACACCCACACATGGCACAGCAGACTTCTCCTGTCGCACCTGCTGCTCCCCTCAGCAGTGTATTTCAGTAAATCCACCTGTTCTGCTCCGTACTCTATTTCTGGTAAATCCTCTCACCACCTACACTCCAGCTCTTCTACAGAAACAAACAAATAAATAGAGCATTTCTCCTGGAAAAGCAAGCTAGAAAACAGACACATGACATTGACACAGATGGTGACAGAACAGATAAGAAAGTGAAGAACGGGTTGGCCTGGGGCAAAATGGTGAAGTCTCATGATTCTGGGGTTTGAGAGGGTTTTCTGTTTACTACCACAAGCAGTTCTCTCCTCCCCTCTTTTATTTATTTACATTTTTTAAAAGATTTATTTACATATATAAGAACTGGGGTACAGGCCAGAGGTGTGGAGGGTGAGAGGATTCACCAGAGACAGAGTGGGGAACAGAACAGGCAGACTGACCGAAGTACACTGCTAAGGGGAGCAGCGGACGCGACAGGAGAGGTCTGCTGCGCCATGTGGGTTGCTCCCTGGCCGGGAATCGAATTCGTGCTGCAGTGGCTGTAGAGATCTTCATAGGTTGCATCTTACCTCTTAAGCCACCAGGGAGGCCCTATTTATTTACATTTTAAAAGGATAAGTTTATTAGGAAAAAGAATGAAAAAGAGAAGCACCTGCATAGTCACAGATGGGCAGGAGAGCTGCCTCTCCTCCCCTTTTTGCCCTGATTAAGAAGAAATTTTGTTAAGAAAAAACAGAGATAAAAACTTGGTTACAAAAAGGTCTAATCCCCCTTTTAAGGGAAAAATACAATTCTGGCAGAGGAAATAATGCCAACTTCTTGAAGTGCTGATATGGTTTCCCAGAAGGAGGCACTGATTTTGCAAACATTTCCATTCTTCCTATCTCCTTATCTTCTTGGACATTTCACCCTGTGATCTTTCAACTGATTCATTCTTGTCATGGGGCAACCAGGTGCAGGGTGGGTGGAGGAGCTGGAAGGCTGGCAGCAACCAAAACCCCCAGCACCCAGCGAATGTTTATGCTTTTTCTCTGGGCTCTCTCTGGCGCTCTCTCATGGCCTCACCTCTTGTAGTCACCAGTCCTCTCACCATCCTTATAGCACTAGACTCTAGGCCCGGGTGTGCACACTTAGGCATGCGCCAGTGTCCACAATCAAGCGCACATGCCCTGCACCCACACTCCCACCTCCTGCGCCAGCACAATCAAGGCCACAGGTGAAAGCCACAAGGCTTTCACAAAGGCTAGTGGTGTAAAAAGCCTGATTAAATCACTTACCCTACAATTCTACATACCATGAAGTTTATTTCTCTGAGAACCAACATTCCAGGACCAGAGAATGTTGGGCAGGCATATTCTTGGAGCTATGAAAACCTTCTCTGTGAGGTATGAAGTCAAATGGAAAAATCTTCAAAACCTGAGTACAGTAAGAAATGGTGGCAAGAGAGTGAGTTGTCCAGAAGTGACCACCTTCAGGACAACTGCCCTTAGCCTTTTTTTTTTTTTTTTTTTATTTTTATTTTTTTTTTTATTTTTTTTTTTTTTTTTTATAGAGGCATGCTTTATTTATTTATTTGTTTGTTTGTTTGTTTTGTTTATACATGCACTGGGTACAGTCAGAAGCGCGGGAGGGTGAGAGAATTCACCAGAGCCAGAGAGGGGAGCAGAGCAGGCAGAAGGACCGAAGTACACTGCTGAGGGGAGCAGCGGGCGGCAGGAGAGGTCTGCGCGCCATGTGGGACCCTCCTGTGGTGGCCGGGGAGCAGCCGGGGATCGAACCGGCGCTGCAGAGGCCGCGGGCAGCTTCGCAACCCAGCGCTCAACCTCTGCGCCACCGGGGAGGCCCTGCCCTTAGCCTTTAACCTCTGGTTCAGTTATCACCAGACACCTTCTTCAGTGGTTGGACTCAGAAATAACCAGAATATAAAGGGGAAGGATGACCCAAGAGCTTTCAAACTTTTGCTATCATGAAACTTTTAAAAATTCATCACAGGTCTCCCTGGTGGTACAGGGGGTTGAGCGCAGCGCTGTGAAGCTATCCACAGCCTCTGCAGCGTGGGTTCAATTCCCGGACGGCCAGGGAGATTCCCACATGGCGCAGCAGACCTCTCCTGTTGTGCCCGCTGCTCCCCTCTTCAGTGCTTTGGGTCTGTCTGCCTATCCTGCTCCCCACTCTGTCTCTAGTGAATCCTCTCACCATCCCGCGCCTCTAGCCTATAACCCAGCTATTGTTTAAATAAAAAATAAATCTTAAAAAAAAATTCCACCACAGCTCCTTCTAGCAATACAATAGTTTTTTTTTAAATTTTTTTTATAGAGGCATGTTTATTTATTTGTTTGTTCTGTTTACACATGCACTGGGTACAGTCAGAAGCGCGGGAGGGGGAGAGAATTCACCAGGGCCAGAGCAGGGAGCAGAGCAGGCAGGGGGACCGAGGTACACTGCTGGGGGGAGCAGCGGGCGGCAGGGGAGGTCTGCGCGCCATGTGGGACCCTCCTCCGGTGGCCGGGGAGCAGCCGGGGATCGAACCGGCGCTGCAGAGGCTGAGGGCAGCTTTGCAACCCAGCGCTCAACCGCTGCGCCACCGGGGAGGCCCTATCAATACAATAGTTTAAAAGGCTTTATCTGTACCGCGTCTCAGCAAACCGAGGGCTCACTCCTCTAGTGACTAGACAAGCACCAGCTGGTGGCAAAACCACAACTCTGGCCAGGGAGGCAAATATACAAAACGGTTTAGAGGCGGCCACCAGGGATTTTGATTTTATTCTTGCCAACTAGTTAGCTCTAAGTGGGCACTAATAAACTTATTTTGCAGATTAAGAAACTGGGGCTCAAAGAGAGGTTAAGCTGAGAATCAGATTTCAAACTTATCTAAACCACTGTGATTACTGTCTACTTGGATATCATTTAACTTAAAGAATATGCTGAGAAGTTATATAGCTCAACTCAGATTTTCTGGGGTCTCCCTGGTGGCGCAAGGGGTTAAGTCTCAGCACTATCAAGCTATCGCCAGCCAGGGAGCTAACCCACATGGTGCAGCAGACCTCTTCTGTCTCGCCCACTGCTCCCCTTAGCAGCGTATTTCTGTAGATCTGCCTCTTCTGCTCCCCACTCTGTCTCTGGTGAATCCTCTCACCCCTTGCACCTCTGGCCTACACCCCAGATCTTGTATGCATAAATAAAAATATATCTTTAAAAAAAGTCATGTTCTAAGGATATCTTACTTTGTTGTTGTCAGGGTTGTTGTTGTCAGGGTTCTTAAAAAAGAAAAAAGCAATCCTTTCAAACTTCAAATTAAGGCAGCTATGTTCTATCACAGAGAAATTTGGAAACCTTGACTGCCCTTCCCAACATGTGTCAGATCAATCCAAGCTGTTTTTTTGAGGAAAGTCTTTAGGTAAATTAGTCTTCTATTCAAACATCTTACCTCATGAGACTTTGCCAGTGTTTTCAGAGGTTGTTAATTTTGCTAGTTAATTTCACTATTAAAACAAAAGGACCTACAGCTGACCACAGTCTATCGCTTTGCTCTTTGTAACACTTACCAAATTCTAATTTGAGAGAATACCTATGAAGACTGTTCAGTCTATCCACATTAAATTCTTTTTCATGCCAGCTTAAGTGGCACCTTTTGCATCTTGCCTGGCATCACTGGTGGCTGCTACAGTCATATCCCACACCATCTGACAGACTTCTTAGCAGTGTTGATCCTCAACTGCAGGAAAAATAAACGTAACACAATTGATAAAAACTCGATGGCCAATCTGTGAAATTTACAGGACACTGGGGTGCCATGACACATCAGCTAGAACCACAATTTTAGTCTCTAAAATGTATTACCCACTAAGCTGCCCCGAGAGCAGTGTTCTGAGCCACCATGACTGACATTCGTCACTCCACAAGTACTCTTTACCTAACAGCTTGCTGGTTTTGTGTGACTTATCAGTACGGAAATTTCTAAGAACATGTTTGCTGTTCTATTAGGTTGTCAAATGATCATGCTCTACTCTGCATGGTATCCTCTCAGAGACCCATGAGAAACTTCTCTTTGGTCTCATTATTAGTCACCTTAATATCTTATGGTGTGCTATGAATCATATAATTGATCATGATTCTTTTGCAGCTAGAAAGCTCAAAATAAAATCTGTAGGTCATCACTCAAATTTCTGTCTGAATTCACTTTATTTTTACGTCAGTGTGCATATTGTGAAAGCTACCTTAAAATCATTTTGAAACAGGATGGGGTATAAAAAAAAATAATACTCCTTTTGGTAGATATTTAGGTTGTTTATATTTTTTTTACTACTTAATACTAAGATATAAATCTTAAGTATATTTTTATCTTTAAATCTTAGTATAATTTTGACTTTTTTTCTTAAGGGGTCTTAAGAAAGCCTGTTAAGGCTGCTATTTATGAAAAAAACCCTCTTATCCTGTTAGTTTTTCTAGCCAGTTATTGTTATATAAAGAAAAGCCTCCTATCTTGGTACCTTTGTTATGTACTCAGTTGTCTTACTGAACTCAGTGGTTTTAACAGATTTTCAGTTGGTCTGGAGGGGGTATTTCTACAATTTCAAAAATTAGCAGTCTTTCTCAAAATGGTAGTTCTTACCTCTGTTTCTCATCTTGCTATATTAAACTTGCAGAATTATGAGAGTTGCTGTCAACAAATGATGGTGAGGATGTGGAGAAAAAGGAACTCTCCCACACTGCTGGTGGGAATGCAAACTGGTCCAACCACTATGGAAAGCTGTGTGGAAGTTACTCAAACTACTAAAAATGGAGCTGCCCTATCACCCAGCAATTTCACTCCTAGGAATCTACCCAAAGGACACAAAAACATTAATTCAAAAGGACCCCTGCACCCCTATGTTTACTGCAGCACTATTTACAATAGGTAAGACATGAAAACAGCCCAAATATCCCAAAACAGATGAGTGGATCAAGATGTGGTGTGTATATACATACAATGGAATACTATTCAGCAATCAAAAAAGATAAACTCATGCCATTCACAGCAACATGTATGGAGCTAGAAGGGATCATGATCAGTGAAATAAGCCAGAGGAAAAAGAAAAATATCAGATGGTTTCATTTATAAGAGGAATATAGGGGAACTAAATAAGGGATCAGGGAAAAAATAAACAATAATAATTAAAAAATCAAAATTAGCAGGCAACCATAAATAAGAGACTTTCTACGAGGGAGAAGGAAGAAAAGGGATCAAAACAGGGGAGAGAAGGCACAAGGGACTACGGTGATGGGCCACAGCTGACTTGGTGGTGGAAATTTTAGAAGTAATACACAATAATGTAAAAGATATAAATAAAAATAGTAATAAAAAGAAAATGAAAGAGTTGCTGTGCTTGCTTCACACCTATTAGAAAATGCCTCCTGGGCCTCCCCTGGTGGCGCAGCGGTTAAGCGCTGGGCTGCGAAGCTGCCCACAGCCTCTACAGCGCAGGTTTGATCCCTGGCTGCCAGCGAGGGCCCCACATGGCATGCAGACCTCTCCTGCCGTGCCCACTACTCCCCTCAGCAGTGTACCTCGGTCCTACCTGTTCTGCTCCCTGCTCTGGCTCTGGTGAATTCTCTCACCCTCCCGCGCTTCTGACTGTACCCAATGCTTGTATAAATAAATAAATAAATCTTTAAAAAAAAAAAAAAAGAAAGAAAATGCCTCCTAAGTGTTTAATATCTGAACATAACACTGATTATTAGATTGAAACAGTCCTTTGGGGCCTCCCTGGTGGCATAAGGGGTTAAGACGCAACCTATGAAGCTATTCGCAGCCACTTCAGCATGAGTTCAATCCCCGGCCAGGGAGGTGACCCACATGGAGCAGCACACCTCTCCTGTCTCACCCACTGCTCACTTAGCAATGTATTTCAGTCAATCCGCCAGTTCTGTTCCCCACTCTCTCTGGTGAATCCTCTCACCCCCCGCACCTCTGGCCTGTACCCCAGCTCTTGGATGTATAAATAAATAAATCTAGAACTGGGGTATAGGCCAGAGGTGCGGGGGGTAAGAGGATTCACCAGAGACAGAGTGGGGAACAGAACAGGCAATTGACTGCAGCGGCTGCAGACAGCTTCACAGGTTACGCCTTAACCCTTGCACCAGCAGGGAGGCCCTAAATAAATTAATCTTTAAAAAAATAAATATATACTAGGTGCAACATAAAATATATATATATATATATATATATATTTAAAGGCATATCCTGGACTTCTATTTTATTTTTTTAAGATTTATTTATTTATACAAGCACTGCGGAAGGGTGAGAGAATTCACCAGAGCCAGAGCAGGGAGCAGAGCAGGCAGAAGGACCGAAGTACACTGCTGAGGGGAGCAGCAGGCGGTAGGAGAGGTCTGCGCGCCATGCGGGACCCTCCTCTGGTGGCCGGGGAGCAGCCGGGGATCGAACTGGCGCTGCAGAGGCCGCGGGCAGCCCAGCAACCCAGCGCTCAACCGCTGCGCCACTGGGGAGGTCCTATTTCTTATTGTGACTCTTAATTAAAAAAAAAAAAGAAAAACATTGGTGAAAAGTATATTAGAAGTCAGAGACAGGGCCTCCCCGGTGGCGCAGCGGTTGAGCGCTGGGTTGCAAAGCTGCCCGCAGCCTCTGCAGCGCCGGTTCAATCCCGGCTGCCGGTGAGGGTCCCACATGGCTCACACACCTCTCCTGCCGCCCACTGCTCCCCTCAGCAGTGTATTTCGTCAGTCTGCCTATTCTGTTCCCTGCTCTGGTGAATTCTCTCACTCTCCCACACTTCTGACTGTACCCAGTGCTTGTATAAATAAATAAATATTTGAAAAATAAATAAATTAATTAAAAAAAAAGAAGTCAGAGACAAATTCATAGGAGTAAGGTTTGAACTGAAACAAGGAAGATACGAGCCTGACCTTATGGGCAACTCTGCAGAGACAGACACTACATACCAGTAATACAACAGGAGACAGGGGCTTGACTACAGGCGCCAAGAGGCAGGAACAGGAACACAGAAGGGCACTAAGAAGCATAGCGTGATGCAGGTTCAGGAAATGCTGAATATGCCTCTCAGCTGGCAGGGGTTAGAGGAGGTAGGGCTGGAAAGGCAGATGGAGTCAGATGGGGAGGGCCCTCAATATCATGCTTAGGGGCTTCAGACTATACCTGGTGGACCAAGGCAGTGATTTTCCAAATTGCAGATCAAGAATCAAGAACTCACATTACTGAGTCATAACCAGCATTTTTTTTTTTAATTAAGTAGAAGAGGGCCTCCCTGGTGGCACAGACAGTTGAGTGCAGCGCTGTGAGGCTGTCTGCAGCCTCTGCAGCACGGGTTTGATCCCAGCCGGCTGGCAAGAATCCCACATGGCACAAGAGACCTCTCCTGTCTCTCCCACTGCTCCCCTCAGCAGTGTGTTTCAGTTGGTCTGCCTGTTCTGTTCCCCGCTCTGTCTCTGGTGAGTCCTCTTACCCTCCGGCACATCTGGACTGTACCCCGGTTCTTGTATAAATAATCTTTAAAAAAAAAAAATTTAGAAGAGAAAGAAAACGCCAGAGTGTGTCACATGGAGAACGAGTTGTATTTTGTGGAACTTTTGTTTCAGTTATTTTTATGCACATATAAACAAATATGTTACATACATATATAGTAACCTCGTCCCACCTCCCCAGAATATATATGTTATTTCAGGGTTTTGATGTAAAAGGCATTTCTTACTAAGGAGTATAGTAAAAAAAAAATTTTTTTTTGAAAGCCTCTGGTTAGGGGGAAGTCACAGAAGGCTTATAACAAGGGAAAGAAATGACATTAATGAAAAGTCTGCCATTAACCTCCTGGATGTCAACAGCAATTCTGAACCACTTAGAGGCAATTCACCTTTCAAGAGGTTTCCCTTTCCTCTGGCTGACATCTTCTCACTGTCTTTTCTGTACTACATGAGAGGCTATCTCTGCAAATGGCTTCCTGAAGACATAAAAAATGAGTATGAAAGTACAAACTACTTAGACATAATTGGCAGTCTCCATTTTTCTTTTGACATTTTTTTTAGGGAAGTTTTCTCTAAAAAAAAGGAAGGAGGAAAATGAACTCTGTATAACGTATTACTGAGCATTTCACAAGGTTTTCAAAACTACCCTCTAAGAAGTCTATTTTAAAAATTTTTAATTATACTTTTGGTTAAGATAATTGCAGATCAACGTGCAGTCATAGGAGCACCTTGGGATTCCATGCACCCTCGACCCAGTTTCCCCCAACAATATCATCTTATATAGCTGTGTTACAACCTCATAACCAAGAAATGACATAACCCAGGAATCTTATTCCGACTTCACCAGTCTTACAGGAATTCCTTTGTATATGTCTTTGTATTACATTCTAGGCAATTTTACTCTATGTATAGATTTGGTAATCATTGCCAATTCAAGATTACAGAACAGTTCTAGCACAAGGATCCCTTGTACATCCCTGTAAGAATCCTTCTATGTTATAAATCCAAATACTCTATTACCACAAAAGTCTTGAAGTTCTTCACCCAACTATAAATCTATCAGTTGAAGACTGTTAATCCCACTACCTACATTGTAAGACATAAACTTCAGGGGGCCTCCCTGGTGGTGCAAGGGGTTAAGCACTGCACTATGAAGCAATCCGCAGCCTCTGCAACATGAGTTCGATCCCCGGCCAGCAAGGGAGCAACCCACATGGTGCAGCAGACCTCTCCTGACTCGCCCGCTGCTCCGTTCAGCAGTGTATTTCAGTCAGTCTGCCTGTTCTGTTCCCCACTCTGTCTCTGGTGAGTCCTCTCACCCCCTGTATCTCTGGCCTATACCCCAACTCTTGTATGCATAAATAAAGAAATCTTTAAAAAAAAAAAAAAAAAGAAAGAAAAAAACTTCAGTGTTACCTAAGCAACACTATCATGACTATGCAGAAAAATAAAATTAAGAAAAAGAGCACAAAATAGTAGAAGTGTTAGGATCATACATTTGTTAAAAAAAGTCTATCTAGAAATAGTAAACATAAAGAGTTGGGGAAGTTATGGTAGATATATAGAAATTTAAATATGCCTTTAAAAGTGGTAAGGAGCAGGTTTTTTTTCCCCCTTTCATATGTTTAAAGTAGCTGAACAACTGAACTGGGTTCCTGAGGCCCCAGGATGCTATCAAAGTGGAATGAGGCTCTAGATAACTGTGCTCGGAGTATTTCTTGCAGCTGACCTCCAGTATAGGGTTAGATGTCCAGAAAATGGACCTTTCACTGTCTCCCTGTACTCAGGCTGAGTAAGTAAGAAATGTGCAAGTGAAAATCTTATAAGGGACCCAGAAGTATGGTGACCAACCATGCAGTCTACCATAGATGAAGGGTTTTCTAGAACTTTCAGTGCTAAAACTAGGAAAGTCCTGGGCAAACTGGTTGGTCATCCTATCTGTCCATGCTATGGTTTATGCCTAAGGCTTCTTCTGTTTTAGAGTTTGAAGCAGAGAAGCAAACCTTTTTGTGGTTGAAGATTCAGAATCCTGGGGGCGAGGAGGCATCAATGGGAAGAGAATAAGGTGACCGTGAACACACAGGCATCCATCATCTTCCTTTGGTCTATAAAGAAGTTGTAGCTGAGATTTTCAGTCTGTCAAAAATGTAATAGAAAGTAATTCTGGGGGCCTCCCTGGTGGTGCAGCGGTTGAGCGCTGGGTTGCGAAGCTGCCCGCGGCCTCTGCGGCGCCGGTTCGATCCCCGGCTGCTCCCCGGCCACCAGAGGAGGGTCCCACATGGCGCGCAGACCTCTCCTGCCGCCCGCTGCTCCCCTCAGCAGTGTACTTCGGTCCTTCTGCCTGCTCTGCTCCCCGCTCTGGCTCTGGTGAATTCTCTCGCCCTCCCGCGCTTCTGACTGTACCCAGTGCATGTATAAACAAAACAAACAAACAAACCAGCAAACAAATAAATAAAGCATGCCTCTATTAAAAAAAAATAAAAATAAAAAAAAAAAAAAAAGAAAGTAATTCTGACAGATACACATTTTAAAGACTAGGCTCAAACAGGTTACATAGCGCAAAAAAAAAAAAAAAGAAGAAGAAGAAAAGATTACCTGTCAAAGAGAAAAGCATTTAACCTCAAAGAGTGGGTGGAATATCAATTCACTGAGCAATTTTACAAATTGGGCACTTCAGCTTTTAAAGAAGCACAATACTTCTTGTAATTTCTAAATTGAGTTACTTGTCCATCCATGAAAAAATTTTGACTGTGTGCATTTTTTTAGAGCTGGTTAAAATGAAAGACGGTTGTCCCAGCCTATCCCACACAGCCACCCACCAGTGAGAGGTGCACAGGCAGTCCAGAAGTGTGGAGCCAAAAGCAGCTTGTGATTTTATATAACTGGATTCCCTTGATATGTACTAGGTACTCTGCTAGGCACAAGTAGAGGCACAGTGCTAGGCACTGTTTTTACTCTTAAGGAACTCACAGTCTCAAAACAAGGCACAGATAGGCGAAAGGTTCCCACTCACTACTCAGCAGTTTAATAGCAGTTTCAGTAAAAATGTATGGGAACCAAATGAGGGAGTCAAACTTGCCAAGCACAAACCTGACCCTAACTTTGTCTCTTCCTTCTAGGGTCTTTTTTTTTCCCCCAAAGATTTATTTATGCATACAAAAGCTGGGGTACAGGCCAGAGGTGCGGGGTGGTGAGAGGATTCACCAGAGACAGAGTGGGGAACAGAACAGGCAGATTGACCAAAACACACTGCTGAGGGGAGCAGCGGGTGAGACAGGAAAGGTCTGCTGCACCATGTGGGATGTTCCCTGGCCGGCCAGGGATCCAACTTGTGCTGCAGAGGCTGCTGATCGCTTCACAGCGCGTTGCTTAACCCTTTGTGCCACCAGGGAGGTCCCCCCTTCTAGGGTCTTAATTGATCTGTTCTTAGCTCTCTCTTGAACCTTACTCAGTAAAGAGCTTTTTATTGAAACTGACTCATTTCACGTTATCTCCTCACCCCAATCTAGTCCTATCCTGCTCCTTTCATATTTCTAAAACATGAATATACCTGATTATTACAATTTAAGATTCCTTTAGAGTTACTCCAGCCCCTAAAGACTTAGGCTTTTTAGCCATGTCTCTGTGACCCACGTACCTCTCTCTAGCCCCACACTCGGCCCTCCTTCCATCCCTAATAAGGTCCAACCTCTCTGAATTCCCAGACCACACTGACTAAACAATATTATTTTTGTGCCAGGACCCATTCTAGGCACTGCAGATAAATCTGTTAACTAAACAAAATTAACTCAATGGGCTGTATCTTCCAACAAGTAAACAAAAAAGTAATTTCTGATACTGCAGAGTGCAAAGAGGAAAATAAGTTGGAGAAGGTGACAACATGATCAGAGACAAGGGGTACTATTTTAGTTAATATGGACAGAGTATGTTCTGTTCCCCACTCTGTCTCTGGTGAATCCTCTCACCTCCCACACCTCTGGCCTGCACCCCAGTTCTTGTATGCATAAATAAATAAATCTTTTTAAAAAAATATGGACAGAGTTAATCTCTGAGAGGAGATTTAAGTAATAGTGGAAGAGATCCATTTAAAAAGAAATTCTCGGGCCTCCCTGGTGGCTGCTCCCCGGCCACCGGCGAGGGTCCCACATGGCGCACAGACCTCTCCTGCCTCACCCGCTGCTCCCCTCAGCAGTGCACTTCCTCAGTCTGCCTGTTCCATTCCCCGCTCTGGCTCTGGTGAATCCTCTCACCCTCCCACGCTTCTGACTGTACCCAATGCTTGTATAAATAAATAAATAAATCTTAAAAAAAAATTATATAAAATTTAAAGAAAAAAATAATAAAAAGAAATTCTCACAGACCACAAGTGTTTACAAAAATTAATTGTATGAAGTTACTCATACACACACACACACACACACACACACATATATATACTCTTCTTAGCTGTGACTCTAAAACCAACCAAATCTGAAACCCACTAGACTTCCTATTATGGAAAGGAATACATTTTTTCATCTGAGACACTTGCCATGAAAAATATTCTGCCTGGTCATCATATTTGGGAAATACTAACCCAACAGGCATTCATATAATTCTCTTCTAGGTCCAATTTTAGGATGAAAATATCCTGGGAGGGCAGGGGGTGTGTAGAGTTTATGCAAGAGAAGTAGAAAAGCAGACGAGGGGGGCAAAGAGGAAGATACTAAGTTCACTGATTCTAAAATAGCTCTTTAAAGCAAGAATAGCCAGCAACAAAGGACTACTAACCAAATTTACACAAGAATGAAAACATTAATTTTAGAGGCTATGAAGAAAACATGGAGGTGGGAGGAGATCCTGAAATGTAAGTGAAGTCATGAAAAAATCTTATTTTGAAACAAAGTATATGAAAACCACTTTTAAAAAACTGGCTTTAGGGCCTCCCTGGTGGCGCTAGGGGTTAAGACACAGCACTATGAAGCTATACACAGCCACTGCAGCACGAGATCGATCCCCACCGAGGGAAGTGACCCACATGGAGCAGCAGACCTCTCCCGTCTCGACCACTGCTCCCCTAGCAATGTATTTCAGTCAATCTGCCTGCTCTGCTCGCCACTCTGTCTCTGGTGAATCCTCTCAACCCCCCTCACCTCTGGCCTGTACCCCAGTTATTGTATGCATAAATAAATAAATCTTTAAAAAAAATAGGCTTTAGACAATGTCTAACTATACTATTACCCTAAAAATTCAAAATAACCATGAGATAAGGCCATAAACACAGAAGACAAAAAAAGATAGGACTTGACCATAGGACATTTAAAGATGTTTATTATATACCTGCACAAATAAGCAATTTGTACTGGTGGGCCAGGCTATAATTAATTCATTGTAACATACACAAACTTCAGTCTGCACAACTAAGTCTCCTCTGTTACCAAACCTATATTCTGGCTTTTATAATTGTGTCCTAATACCTGGTACAGCAAACATCTACAGCATTTGCGATTATAAATGCCCCTGAAGGCCCTTCAGAGAGCAGAAGTGAACACTTTCTCATGGAGGTATGCCAGCTTTTCTAGGCGAGTTCGCTTCAGCAGCGGGAACCATTCCCAGTAGGCTAACTCCACCACTCGGTATCCTAGTCGATTCAACTGCCGCCTCTTCATATTGTGCAGTCCAAGTAGATGCCTCGAACCATAGCAGTACTGGTTCCTGTTTGTCAGCTGAATAGCCAATTTCACTTGTGGGTGCTGTATGCAGTCTGGGGGGCAGAAGCCAGTCATCTCCATGGCTCCCAATCTGCCAACCTGGAAACGTTCTCTTGATTTCCCTTTTAGTAGCTGATTCATCAAATCATCTGTAAGGCTGACTCCCACATGCTTAAGCCTCAATTTGGCTCCATCTTCAGTCGGTGTGGTGTCTGTGTTGAATGGCAATGGCTTCATGTTAACATCAAGCTGGACCTCTAAGTCGGAAGATCGGGTATGAGGCAAAATCATATGGTGTTTAACATACTGGGCACCACCCAGCATGGTCTCAAGTAAAGAGAGTGCTTCAAGGAATTCAGGCTTTGAGTTCATATCTTTCCTTGCTAAATTCCACAAAATTGCTGACCCCTCATTCTGAAGGTGAGAACTAAGACGGCTGCCTCTGTAATCTGGACACTCAATGCCAACTGTTCCATCAAGAGTACACAGCTCCTTAATGAGTTCAAACTTACTTCTCTCCTGAGCTAACCTGATAAACCTTGGACTCAAAGCAAAATCAATCAGTTCTAATGGAAAGCACTCAGAAAATGCCAGGCCCAGAAGACAAGTAGGCAGGTGTTCTGGGTATCGGTTGAATTCAGGTAACTTGTTGTGAATTTCATTTATCAGGCTAGTATAAAACTCCTCTGCATTGGGTGGCTTATAATTCAGAGTTCCAAATGACCAAAGAATCTTAGCGACATCTTTACTTCGACAGTATGCTACCCTACATGGCAAAGAAGCAGCCACAGCATTCATTACCCCTTCATGCAGGAAACGTAAGGCTGAACAGGCAAGGGTCAGGTGCATGACACCCTGAACTCCCAGGGAAGGAACTCGGTGAGGAGCAATCTGTCCAAATTGTTTCATGAACTCTGTGTGATCCACATGAGTAAAACGGAACATTTTAAGAATATTCACTAAGGCATAACTACTCAGACATTGCATGTCAGCACAAGCCACATCTCCAATTTTCCGCATGACAAATTCAGAGAGGCTACTACTTGATTTAAAGAACCCCAAACAGATTGTGCCAACCTCCTCTAAATTGATCAAGTCTATATACTTGAGAACCAATGATTCCAGTTTCTGCATTAGGTCCTGAGGTACCTGACGATTTTCACCTATAATATATATTAAGTGAATCAACTGAGACAAGGATAAATCTTTCCAGTGCAAATTAAGGTAACTAAAAAAAATCTCTAAAAATCGAGGTACTTTGCGGCCCAAGTTTCGCCAGAGGTCAGCCACCAAGAGAAGCTGATCCAGACTCATCTCCCATACCTTATGGCAAAACTTGGTTTCATACACATCTAGCATTGAATGGGAGTGAGGGATTCCTAAACTGACAAAGGCTTTCAAAATACTGATCAGATCTGGAACATCAAAGACCTCTATGTTTTTCATACTCAGCTGGCAGAGCAGAGCAAAGGTGGTATTGGACAGCAAAACAGGACATTGCTCTGCAGGCAAAGAGCTCAGCTTACAGAAATAATCAGCAATGGTTTCAGGCTGGAGATTATCTTGATAAACTGTGACTTTGTGCAAAATTAGTTCACCTTCTGAAACAGACAGAGGCTGACAAGCCTCAGATCTGTTATAGCTATGAAGCTGATATTCTGGTCTTAGCTGTAGGAAAACTCGGGGGTCTTCAAAGGAATCAAAAACTTCTATGCCCTCTTCATCAGCTCTGATGGCCCTGAGTGAGCCCGGTTTTAATGTGCTGGCCTTAGAGGCAGAAGCCCTGCTGAATTCCAAACCCGGGAGGGCACTGCTGGTTGTCAGCATTCCCTGCGAAGAGGTGACACTACAAATGTTCTTAACTGTTTTGGCCGGATGGTGCAGGCTACTATGTTCTGGAGACTCTTGTCCCCTGTGCTGTGGACAGCATCCCACATTCCAGTATGCCACTCTATGGGTTGCACTGCAGGCTAAAGGACTGCAAAACACTCGATTTCCTAAAGGTTTTAACAACTTGAGAGTGGTCATCATTCTGGTGTCAGTACTGACCGTTGTGGCAGTCAGAACACAGTCCTCCCAGGTTTGACCAGGAAATTTCTTGTTTCTATGGTGCTCGATCAGAGGTGTCGGGGAGGCATTCCACAGAAACTGCCTGGAAATCTTCGGCATTCACAAGAACCATGGATCACAAGTGACAGGGCCAGAATTGGTGCCAGATACTGAAAAAAGGGTAGATGAAGAATAAGTGGTTTCCACCTATCACAATACCAAAATTCACACATTACAAGAAGTGGATTAACTCTACACTGCTGTTCACTCAAGTAAGTTCAATGGTAGTGAAAACCAAACCAAACTAAATCAAAACTGAGATAAAATGCATGACAGTATACATCAAGGATAAATTCCAGATGCCTTACATAAAGACAGGAAAGGCTAGACCCAGGGTACACTCAGCAGTTCTCTGAACTGCTACTCAGTCCACACTTCTTTCTGGACTTCCACTGTCCTCTGGTCAGACTTCCCTTACTGTAGAAGGAAAGCAGGGATGGTTAGAGAGGAGATGGTGGCTCTGCTAACACCTAACAGGAAGGAGAAAGGCAAATTTCCAAAAAGAGCAAAGACAGTAACTTATTCCACATCTGCTATCAACTCATAAAAGGGCATCCCTGGAGAATAAGAAAATTGGTAAAAGTTGCCATGCTAACACCAAATGAAAAAAGTGGAATTTTGGGATTTGGTATAAAGTTTAATTAATTATTTCTACAATAGCCCTCTCTGTTCCTAAAACACGAAATTAAAAACTACAACTACAAAAGTCTATTGTTCTAACATTACTCCTATACTTTTTAGAAGGCCCCTATTCTCCTCTCCAGGAGGCTTATATGGGGTTTAAATCCCTATTAGAATAGTCATGCAACTAGGAAGCATACTCAAAAACTCACTTTGATGGGGAAGGGCAGAAGGCAAATGCCCTGCTCACAGTCAATTCATGAAGCAAACAGCTGGCTTCTCAAAGATGAATTCTTAGTTCAAGGACACCAATTCACATGACTGCCCTGGAAACAAGCCAGGGGACCAGCACAGTTTTCTTCTGGAGGCAGCAAGTTAGCAATGATGATTTTCCTGCTTGTGAGCAGCACAAGTTCCATTTTCCTCTTGTGACAGAAACAATGAGAGGCTATGAAATTGATTTTGCTTAACTTTTGCTTTTTTGAAATGATTAAAGTCCCTCCTTCCACTTGAGAATATCTAAGTCTGACAAGCAAAGCCCAGAAGTCCTGAGTTGCGAAGATACAGACCAGACAAAAATCCCATGAGGGTTCTGCTAGTGCCAGAATGACTTTCTCAAATGCCTGCCTAGCTCATCTGTCGCTTTCTTCCTAAGCCCACAGAACCAGGGGAACATAGGGCAGGCCAGAGGTTTTGCCAGGTAGTCCAGGTACGCAGACCTCTGGATGGCAGGAATGAATGCTCTAATTTCTTTGAGTCAGAACAGAATTCCTTCACACCAATCTTTGCATACTTAGTTCTTTACAGTGGTTTATGGACCATTCTGTCCATCAAGTTTCAATCTATGGATCCAGATGCTACAGACTAGGAGTCAACAAATTATGGCACTGGACCCAAACCTAGCCCTCCCTCTGTTTTAATCAAAGTTTATCTTAACGTGGCCAGGCCACTAGTTACATATTATCTATGATTGCTTTTTCACAATATGAGCAGAACTGAAAAATTGTGGCAGAAATTGTACAGTCCACAAGTATACAATGTTTTTATCTGACCCTTTAGAGAAAAAGTTCACAAGATTCATTTAGTTTATTCCTATGACTATAGATGGCTAACTTAAAAAAAAAAAATTAGAAAAGGGGTTTCCCTAGTGGTGCAAGGGGTTAAGTCGCAGCCATTGCAACACCAGTTCGATCCCAGCCAGGAAGCAACCCACATGGTCCAGCAGACCTCTCCTGTCTCGGCCAGTTGCTCCCCTCAGCAGTGTATTTTAGTCAGTCTGCCTGTTCCGTTCCCCACGCTGTCTCTGGTGAATCCTCATTCCTCCACCCCCCCACCCCAGCACATGTGGCCTGTACCCCAGTTCTTATATGCATAATTTTTTTTTTGTGGGACCCTTTCCGGCGGCCAGGGAACGAACCGGCGCTGCAGAGGCTATGGGCAGCCTCGCAGCCCAGCGCTCAACCGCTGCACCACCAGGGGAAGCCCTGCATAAATAAATCCTTAAAAAAAAAAAAAAATTCAGTGGAGGGCCTCCCCTGGTGGCACAAGCGTTGAGTGCAGCGCTGTGGAGTTGTCCGAAGTCTCTGCAGCGCCGGTTTGATCCCAGCCAGCCGGCAAGGGTTCCACATGGCGTGGCAGACCTCTCCTGTCACGCCCACTGCTCCCCTCAGCAGTGTATTTTTTCAGTCTGCCTGTTTTGTTCCCGGCTCTGTCTCCAGTGAATCATCTCACCCTCCCGCACATATGGCCTGTGCCCCGTTTCTTGTATAAAAATAAATAAATAAATCTTTAAAAAAAAATTCAGTGGAACAAATGTAACACATAAGAATACCATCACTTAAAATACACTTATATAAAAGGAAAGTAACTAACTTTTTGTGGGGAAATTCTGTTGTATCTCTGATAAGTTAACTTTTTCCCCCTTTTTATTAGGTTAAAATTGTTAATACACAGAATCCATATACAGAAGAGTATATGGATTTTCACAAATATCTTTATAAATACAATTTTATTTTATTTTATTTTATTTAAGATTTATTTATTTATTTATTTATTTATTTATTTATGCAAGCACTGGGTACAGTCAGAAGCGCAGGAGGGTGAGAGAATTCACCAGAGCCAGAGCAGGGAGCAGCGCAGGCAGAAGGACCAAAGTACACTGCTGAGGGGAGCAGCGGGCGGCAGGAGAGGTCTGTGCGCCATGTGGGACCCTCTTCCGGTGGCCTGGGAGCAGCCGGGAATCGAACCAGCGCTGCAGAGGCTGCGGGCAGCTTCGCAACCCAGCGCTCAACCGCTGTGCCACCGGGGAGGCCGATAAATACAATTTTAAAGGCACATCAGTTAAAATTATTTCAGGCAGTACTACCCAAGAAAAAAACAAAAAAGGGGAAAAAATTACTACCTAAGAGTATTTGATAAAATTACTGTGGGTGGTCCTGAAATGAACAAAAGAATCACTTCCCGGAACTTCAGTGTCTGTTGTAGATCCAGTGGTCTAAATTTTTGTTCTTTCTGATTTGTTAAAGTACAGGCTAAGTCCCAGGATGGAAATAACAAAAGCCAAAACTGTCTCAGGGTGTCCTGTGCATCAACCCTTGTATGAATGCTTTACCTGCACTAGTTCCAATCCCACATCCAAGGGTAGATTTTACTCTATATTGCTGACAAGGAAATGAAGTCTTCACAGGATTTAAGAAACCTGATGAAGGTTACACAACCAAAGGATGGAATGGAGGTTGACATCAAAGATTGTTTGATTCCCAAGCCCACATTACTGGTGTACTGGAGAGAGAAGAAGGGGAGTCAAGAGACCCTGAACAATCTATGTTCCTCTGGGGTTTCCAGGTACCAGAGAGCTGGAAAGGATTAGAACTACCCACTAACATAATCTAGGATCCTAGTTACCACTATGGTTACATTATTTACAAAAAAAAAAGACCTCAAAGCCTGAAATCTACATGAAGGAATGGGTTTACAGGATGCTCCAGTATCAAGGTAAAGAAATATCCCAATTAAAGACCTTAAAGTTGGCAGGAGAGATATGGGATCTAGAAATCAGGGTTCAACAGAAGAAACAAAGGGAAGCCCGAGGGTAATGATTAAGATCCCAGAACAAGAGCTATGAGCAGACCTATAGAGCAAGCAGTTCATGCTGAAGGAGATGGATATTACCTAGGGGTGAGATTTAAAATTCTGATGGGAAATCTTGGGATAAACAAGTAAACTGACAGAAAAATCAAGCTAGTAACAACAATAACAAAAACTATTAATTTCAGGGCCTCCCTAGAGGCGTAGGCGGTTGAGCACAGCGCTGTGAAACTGTCCGCAGCCTCTGCAGTGCTGGTTCGATCCCCGACGGCCTCAGAGATGCCCACATGGCGAGGCAGACCTCTCCTATCTCGCCCGCCGCTCCCCTCAGCAGTGTATTTCGTCAGTATGCCTGTTTGTTCCCCGCTCTGTCTCTGGTGAATCCTCTCACCCTCCCGCATATCTGGCCTGTACCCCAGCTCTTGCATAAATAAATAAATCTTAAAAAAAAAAAAACCTTTAAAAATATAAAAACTATTAATTTCAGGAAAAACAAAAAATGTTATAAGAGATAGAAAATGTTATAGTCTCTGCTCAGCTGTGAACCTTTACATAACCTTATTAATATGAATCTTGAATATCCACCTAACTAGAAATTATGAGTAAACTATTTTGGGGGGGAAATGAAAGGAGAGGAAAGGGGGTTAGAGGGAGGTCAGGTAGAGACCTAGAGCTTCAAAGTCCATAACAAAGAAGTCAAACATTATGTAAATTTAGGTACAGATAATTATAGATATAAGTATATCCTAGAAATCAAAAAAAAACACAGGGCCTCCTCTGGTGGCGCAGCGGTTAAGTGCTGGGCTGCGAAACTGACCGCAGCCTCTGCAACATTGGTTCGATCCCCGGCCACTGGAGAGGGTCCCACATGGCGTGCAGACCTCTCCTGCTGTGCCCGCTGCTCCCCTCAGCAGTGTATTTCATCAGTCTGCCTGTTCTATTCCCGGCTCTGGCTCTGGTGAATTCTCTCACCCTCCCGCGCTTCTGACTGTACCCAGTGCTTGTATAAATAAATAAATAAATCTTAAAAAAAAAAAAAGAAAAAATACAATTGTGTTATTACAAACAAACTGATAAATGCCAAAAGAAACAGATAGTTAAAAGTGTCTCTGGGGAACAAAAGAAAAGAGAATATTTAAAGTTATGAGTTGTGCTGAACTGTTTATATAAAGCATGTATATTGTAACTTCGACAAAGTTTAAATTTACAAAATGTACTAATAGGAAAGTAAAGTATTCTTCAAGAAGAAAATCAGGGCCTCCCTGGTGGCGCAAGGGGTTAAGACGCAATCTATGAGGCTGTCCACAGCCTCTGTAGCACGAGTTCAATCCCCTGGCGGGCCAGGGAGCAACCCACATGGCACAGCAGACCTCTCCTGTCTCGCCCGCTGCTCCCCTCAGCAGTCTACTTGGGTCAATCTGCCTGTTCTGTTCCCCACTCTCTAGTGAATCCTCTCACACCCCCCCCCCCCCAGCACCTCTGGCATGTACTCCAACTCTTATATGCATAAACAAATCTTAAAAAAAAAAAACTGGTAAAGGACATTATGAAATGCCCAACCATTAACTCCTGACGTCTTCTCTGAAGGTTAAAAAATACCTACATCATTGCACAGAGCCCATTTCCAAGTTTAATTACCCCAGTATACCTTCCTCCTCATCTCCTTATTAGGGGTCCTAACATACCAGAGCAGTGCTTCAGGGACCCCTGGATTATGGCTGGTCAGAAAATTACTGCTCAATCCACTTTGAATGATGTGATTTTACAGGAGAAAGGAATCTTACCTTTCCACCTTCCAGGTACAATGAAGCAATAGCTTCATTTTAAATTATTGTCCAGGGCCTCCCTGGTAGCACAGGGGTTAAAGTTTCAGTGCTATCAAGCTATCACCAGGCACTGCAGCATGAGTTCAATCCCTGGCCAGGGAGCTAACTCACATGGCGCAGCAGGCCTCTCCTGTCTTGCCCCCTGCTCCCTCAGCAGTGTATTTCAGTAGATCCACCTGTTCCACTCCCCACCCTGTCTCTGGTGAATCCTCTCACCCCACGCACCTCTGGCCTACACCATAGTTCTCCCTGGTGGCGCAGGTGGTTGAACGCAGCACTATGAAGCTGCCCACAGCCTCTGCAGCACAGGTTCAATCCTGGCCGGCTGGGGAGATACCCACATAGTGTGGCAGACCTTTCCTGTCTTGCCCGCTGCTCCCCTCAGCAGTGTCGTTCAGTCACTCTGCCTGTTCTATTCCCTGCTCTGTCTCTGGTGAATCCTCTCACCCTTCCGCACCTCTGGCCTGTACCCTGGTTCTTGTGTGCATGAATAAATAAATCTTTAAAAAAAATACATAAATTACTGTCCAAAAGTTAGAGAAGGAGTGAAGTGGAGCAAGGCAGCCATGCTAACTGTAAGGATACGACACCCTCAGTATATTCAATTTACTGAATCTCATCCCTTAATTCTCATTTCTGATTGTTTTACTAGAAAGTTTTAAATACTCTCCCACCCCATGTCCTGATAAAATTGCCACAAATAAGTGGATAGTTCAAACTTCATTTTTGTCTCAGCATATAATTTGTTGGGCAAACTTGAGAATAAAAGAAGAAAAAAAGCCACTTTCTCTAGGTACTGGAGTCTCTTACTGAGTCTATAAAGCTGTAAAGCCCCTGGTGAAAGCTTAGGGATTGACAGTAAGGACCCTCAGCTATTAAAGCAGATGCTAACTGGGTTTGACTCATCTCTATTTCTGCTTCCACTTAGAAGCACAGTCTACAAGAGGGAAGTCTACCACTGTGAAGGTAAAGCACTAGTGCAAAGGTGTTTAGGTTATCTAAATATCAACAGAGTTAAGCCAAAGTAAAATGAAGTCTAACAGTTTATCCCCTCCTTCACTCTAGTGCTTACAGGACAAAAAAGAACACATCACAATCATCTGTGGAACATCTGTGGAACTTACATAGCACTCGCTCCCAGGACTGCATTTACGCTCTCAGAATGGCAAGTGCCTGGATAGATATAATCTGATAAGGTCCTACAGATAATGCTCTTAAAGGGTTTCATAAGATTGTCTTAAGAACATCTCTAGGTATGACAACAAAGAGCAGATACTCATGTTTTCTCAGTTCATCTAAATGGGCCTACTTTCTGACCAAGAAAATCCAGGCAGGTAAAGAAAAGTATCTACAACCCCAGTCATGTGCAAAAGGAAAAGTATCTACAACCCCAGTCATGTGCTAAACTATCCAAATAAATGGTCCAAGTACCTATTACCAAATACTTGGTTTTATCTGTTTGTTTAGCTCAACCAAACACTTGGTTTTCTCGGCTTTCCTAGATTTGCAAAGTTGCACTGTGTATTACTTCAGACAAGTGAATGGAGAACTTCAGAATTCTTTGATATCAAAGTTGACTTATTTGCATGATGAACAGCAAAGTCTTGTTGGCGCCCAGAAAAATAAGCCAATGAACAGGGAAGAAAACCATAATGACAAATAAGTCAGACCTGTAGAAATGTCAAAAGACTCTCCTTTGGCTGTACTGTGCGGCATTGAGTTCTTTTACTTTGATCTGCCAGGCAGAAGGGAATTCACCCCAGAATTTGCCCAAGCCCATTCAGAGTAGTGAAATGCAGAACCCAGTTCTTGAAAGGCGGTTGTTCTTAACTATTCACAAAATGTGCCAAAAGTATGGAAAACATGAATTCAGATTCCAGCGGCAACAAATGCCTCGAGTACAAATTACCAGGCGAACTGGTGCTAAAACACTTGGCTATCAGCGCCATAGGAGGGAGCAATGCCAACGGCCTACAGGGAGTGAGCACTGAGGAGATAAATGAACAGAACTGGTTTACAGAGGGCCCCAAATTCCAAGTCGGGGCAGAAGCGCTGTCTCATGATTTGTACGAACACACACACACACACACACACACACACACACACACTCTCTTCCTCTCTCTTTCTCTTACTTTCTTAACTCTGAAGAGGAAAAAAGTATGGGGACATGAATTAGGGCTGTGTGACCACTGTTAAAATGAGGGAAAGGTAGATACGTCCTGCAGATAATGAAGACTCACCACGCCCCCGGTACCAGGCAAAATACTATAGGGCCTTGCAGCTCCAAGTGTGGCCTGCGGACCGGCCGCATCAGCCTCCCCAGAGAGCGGGCTACACACGCAGAAACTCAGGCCCACCCCAAGCCTACAGAGGCAGAGCTCCGGATCCCCACGCGATCCGCATACACAGTGAAGTGCGGTGCGGGGGGCGGCAGGGCGTCTCACGGCGTTCTCGCGGCGGCGCTGTGGGGAAAGCACTGTTATTGTCCATCTCACGGTTCAGAGAAGCCGCTCGCCCAAGGTCACAGGCGCTCCCGGGGGGCGGGGGGCGCCGAGGTCCTCACAGGAGCTGGGCGGCGAGACGCTCCGGCGGCGCCGGGCCGGCAGCGCGGCGCCGGGCCCGAGCGCGTGCCGGCTCTGGGCCGGACAAGAGGCGGGGGCCGAGGGCCAGAACGGCCACCGCGACGTCCTCTCAAGCCACCGTCACTCACCTGAGTCTGGCGAACGCGGACGCCGCGACACCAGAGCCCAGGCTGCGCGGGCGACCGCGCCGCGCGCCACCAGGATCCACCAGCCACCCGCGGCCCCACAGACCCACTTCCGGCCAGCTGCCCGCCACTTCCGCCTGCTGCGCGGGGGACGGGTGCTGCCGAGGCTCAAAAGACTCTGCCAGCGTTTTCCAAGGACGTTTTCTGCGAGAGGACGCTGCGGAGGAGTTTGAAGGAATCTAGGACCTGCGGAGGGGAATCACCCGCTTGTACCCGTCTCCCCGAAGTAATTGAAAAGTGTGGACGCTAGTTCGAATCCCGGGCCAGCACTCAAGGGTTTATGGTGTCGGGAAGTCATGTAAATGCTAAGCCTACTTCCCTCATCGGTACAATGAGTGCTCATGCATTTATAATAGAGATATACCTACAAAGTGCTCCCGGGAGGGGCGTTAGTGATGGATAGATGAGCCTGTTCGGGGAAATGGAAGTAAGGAGATGGAACTTAAGGAGCAGAACTATGATGGATGAACCAGGGCGATCCTCCACCTTCCTAAGCAGGGGGTCTCATCCCTGAGTCGGCATGACAACTAGGTAAGCAAGAGACCTTCCCGGGATGGCCTGGCCCCAGACTGCCCATGAGCTACTGGCCAGCATTGTCTTCTCAGTACCTTGGCTGCTGGTCCACTCATGGTAAGAACTGCGATGATGCCCCCTACACGGCACCATCTTGTCAGGGAGACAAAACCAATGTCGGCAGGACCCTTCACAGCAAGCAGGGCCAAGCCTGGCATCCTAACTCCTCAGCTCTGCTTGGGGCACTGGCTTCCTGAGTGTAAACATATGGGGTCCCAGGACACCACTGCTCAGCGTGTGTTATCAGGGTGAGGCCAGACCCTGGAAAACACTGTTAGTTGCCAACAGAACCCAGAGAGAACACAGGGCACATGCCCAGGGGATGAACCTTGATGGCCCCTAGGCAGCCATAACAATCCTGTGCCTCTTTGCCAAATACTTAATTCCCCAGCCTCCCTTGAAGTGGGAAGAGCATGTGACTCAGTTCTGACCAACAAAATGTTAAAGGAAAAGTTCTGGGGAGCTTCTGGGAACTATTTTACTTTCATGATTAATTGGTGCTGCCTCAATTCCTTGGCAGAACTGTGGCAGCCACCTTGTGGCTTGGAGGGGACAAGCTAAGGATGGGGGGTGGGAGGATAAGAAGTCTGGGTCCTTGAGGCACCAACACTCTTGACACAACACTGATGTACGGACTTTTAGCCAGGTGCGCAAAAATCAACCACTCTTTGAGATCCTGTAAATCAGGTGGTATCACTTATAGCGGTATATATTGATTGGGTGGCTTTGTAATGAGGATGACAAAAGGACAGTACATATCCTGGGGGACAGCTCCCCATTCTGGGCCTCACCACTAACAACAAATCCTTTCTCAGCCTCCATGTCTATGTAGCCTGCCCTCAGACACTGGCCAATGGCCTCAAGGTAGCTCAGGCGGCCACAGGCTGCATCTAGCTGTCCTGTACCCCCTGCCTTCTGGCCAGCAGCCTGGTGTCTAGATTCTGAGCTCGAACCAGCTTGGGAAGTGTCTGAGCTGAAAAGAAAGCCCTGTTGGCAGACTCCTCCCAGCAACAAAGAAGCTCAGGCTTTGGGCCAACCTACTAGCAGGGCCCAGCCAGCACCTTGGGTCTCATGCCTCCTCTGGGAAATCTGTTTACTCCAACTTTGTCCTCCTGCCCCCTCTCGCTCAGAGACACAAGCAAGCCAAAGGATGCCATTCAAGAGGCTTTCTCCATTTTATTTCTTTGGGAAAAGAAAATGAAGTCTTTCCATCACATATGGTAGATATATATTTATATATATATTTATATATAATTTCTCTTGTGGTTGGAAGTCCCAAAGCTGAGTCTGTTCATCTTCTTTTCTATTTTTTTTTTCTTACTAATGCCTTCTCTTCCCCTCGCCCCTCTGGCCCAGGGGCAGTGAGGGCCGAGAGGACTGGGCAGTGATTTCCAGGGTGGCCCCTTGTGCAGCTCAGAGACCTGGTGAGGGCCACCCAGAAGGGACTGTGCAGAGGGACAGAGGCCACACGGAGGGGCACTCCTGTTATTGTGGGGGATGCACAGCTCATTAAACAGTCACCAGTCTTGAGAGGAGGCTGGTCAGGGTTTGGGGGACTTGCTCACAGTAGTTGCCAGCTCTCTCTCCACCCTGACCCCCCAAAAACCCAGTCTTGGGGATGGGAGGAGAGTGAAAAGAGAATATGAGGGCTGAGGGCCAAGCCTCCTCCAATTTTTATTGCTGGTGAATTAGAAATTTGCCTTTTCCCTCCTATCTTGGGGAGATGGACCTCTGAGAAGGCCTCAGAGGAGGAAGCGATACTGGCTATATCCCAACCCCCACTGGCGGCTACGCCAGGTGCATCCTGGGCAAACACTGGACTACCTCAGGGGCCTGGGACCCCAGGGGTCAGTGTTCCTCTCAGGTCAGCCTTGTTCTTCAAGGATAATCACAACCACCACCCTCTGACCCTCCCAAAACAAGGGTGCTGGGCTCAGGCTTGGGCCCAGTGGAGCTTGGAAGTGGGCAGTGCACCAAAGATCAAGCAGAATTTTCTACTGGAAGAAAAGCTGAGATTTGGGGGAGAAGTGGCCTGGGACAATGATGTTCTGAGCATGAAAGCAGAGGCAGCTGGAAGGAACTGAGTTGGGGAAGACACAGGAAGACATCACAGACACTCATAGGACCTCAGAAACTGGGTGAGGAGAGTGCCTGAGAGGCAGGTAGCACTTATTAGCTGTAGTTAGAGCCGGACAGCGGCCCTGGGTGTGGGGTCAGCCAAGCAGATGAGGCTGTTGCCCTGTGGATCCTGGCTAGAAGGGTGGGATAGAGCTAAGAAGCCTCCAGGTAACCCTTCCCAGGAACAGGAGGGCAGATCTTCCCTGGGCACTGAACACACACATGTGAGCACACACTCAGGACCAGGTCAGGCTCTGAGACCTGAGCCCAAGAAACCTTGGGGGGGAGGGGCTGGGCAGGTAGCCCTCTCAACCACAAGCAGGCCATCTGCTCCACTTGTCCTGCCCATCTGCCCACGGAGGGAGAGCAGTGCAGGAAGGAGAGAGGCCAGGAGCCCAAGGTCTGTCAGATTCGGCAGACGCCACGCCAGCTCCTCAGGCCACACAGCCTAGGAGGAGAGCGTAGAGAGCATCACTGGACAGGCTGGCTGACTGACAGGAGCAGCCTAGACCCACCAAGGGTCTGGGGCACCTCACAGCACTGCAGGCCTGCTGCCTCCATCTCCAACAAGGAAGTGCCAAGAAAGGAAGCATGGGCTCCCCTGCTGCCTGGGCTCCTCAATCCTACTCACTCTGAGTTCCTCCCACCCCATGCCTTTTTTGGAAGGGGGGTTCAAGTGGGCTGCCCAGAGGGGGGGAGGAGGAGCCTGTTCACAGCTGCTTTGAGAACCTCTTTGGTCTGGGGATATGGGGGACACAGGGAAAAGAGATGGAAGGGAGGCGATACTGGGGACTCTGGCCTTTGACAGGGCATTTGTCAAAAGGCCACATGCCCAGGTAGGGGATCAGATTTCTGTGGACTCAATGCGCTCAAGGCGGGAGGGGGTCCAGGCTTTCTTCTCCTCACCATGTTGGGGGGTAGGTGTGCTGGCACCCCCTGAGGCCCCACGCTCCCTCAGCCTCCGCTCCAGCTGCTGGTTTCGCTGGTACATTTCCACGTAGCTCAGCTGCAGCTGCTTCTGGTACTCGATGACCTTCTCCTTCTCCTCCAGCCACACGCGGCGCTCCTCTGCAAAGCTGGCGCCCTGGCGCTCTCGGGCTCTCCGCTCAGCTGCCAGCTCAGCCTGCAGCCGCCCGACCTCCCTCCGAAGGGCCCTTGTCCCGTTCTCCCCGCCAGCATCCACCTCCCCATCCAAGGAAGCCAAGGAGGCGGCAGCAGCCACCCCGGCCTGACGGCGCATCTTGGCCTCATCACTCTCGCAGGTGGCCAGCGCATCCTGGGGCTCAGTCGAGTCCACAGGGGTCAGTGCAGGCTTGAGGCAAGCTGCAGGCAGCTCCCCCTCACTCAGCTCCAGACTGGCCTGTTTGCTGCTGAAGGAGTCCCTCAGGCTGAGCAGCTGCTCCTCCTTCTCCCGCAGAGAAGCCCGGCCTTCCCGCAGCTGGGAGCGCAGGCCCACGATCTCACTCAACTTCTGGGACACGTCCGCCTGAGAGTCCTTCAGCTGCTGCTTCAGGAGGGAAATCTCCCCAGCCTTCTGGCACACCTGGGCAGGGTCAGGGGAGAGGAGAAACCAGGATGAAGTCAGCGTTCTGCTCACCCCCACCCTCATATCTAGCCCCAAAGGACCAAGCTTCCCCAGGGTTCAAGTTCAGCTGAAATGACACCATGGTGTCCACTCTGCAGATCCAGACAGTACCGACATAGCTGACCTCACACAGGACCTCAGATGCTCCCACTGGATTTTATCCGTCCCTCTCCCTTCCCTCTGTTGTGACAGTGATGGGCTACCACTCTGGGTTTCTCTGAGTGACACGGGAGAGGGTCCAAGGCCCCAGCCCGCACCTCCCATTTAGTTTCCTCCATCCGGGGCAGGAAGTCGGCCTGCTCCTTCTGGCAGGCGGCCACCTTGTCCTCCAGCTCTTCCCGTTGTCGCATCAGCCGGGCAGCCTCCTCCTGCAGCTGTTTTTTGTCCTGCTGCAGCCTCAACACCTGCAGCTGTAGGCCCTGCTGGGCACGCTGGGCGCGGCGGGCCACCTGCTGCAGCTTCCCGCTGCAGCCCTGCCGCAGCTCCGTCAGCTCGCGTTCCCATGCCTTCTGCCGCTCCTCCAGCACCTGGGCCACTGCCGCCTCGCTCTGCTCCAGGCTGCGTCGCAGAGCTGCCACCTCCTGCTCCTTCTCCCACAGGCGCTCCTCCAGCTCCTGGATCAGAGCACTGGGCGAGGGAGGGGAGCAGGCCGCAAATGGCAGGCCTCCGCCTCCCCCCTCCCCCGATCCCAAGTGGCCAGATCGGCCCATGGATGAGGATGACCCACTCTTGCTGGAGGCCCTTCCGCTGTCTGAGGTCCCCAGGTCCTGGTAGCCTGACCCCCCACCGCTGCTGCTGCCACCGCCGCTGCCACTACCATAGCTGATGGTGCCAATGCGGTTGATGTGGCTAGTGGAGGCACTGAGGGGTGCCAGGTGCTGGCTGTAGCTGGAGCTGTAGGTGGGCAGACTTGTTAGTGAGTTCCGGCCTGAATCTGAGAGGCCACCCCCAGTCCCGCCTGCCGGAGTCATGGTCCGAGATTTGTCCAGTCCACCCTTGAGGCCACCAGGGCCCTGTCGTCCCTCTGGGGTCCCGTTGGTCTGGGGAGGGCACAAGTTCTGCATGGAGTGGAAGTTCTTGGGTACAACAGGCTTGAAGGCTGAAGGCCGAACTAATGGCTCTGAGCACTGTGTGAAAGCAAGGAAGGGGGAGTGGGCGTTAGGGTGGGGCCTTAACCTTGGCCCCAGCCCCTTCCCTATGGCTGAACTTGTTCAGCTCCATCTCCCAGGCCCACTGGCTCTCCTCCCCCAAACGAGGTCTCTACCCTAGACCCACCAGCTGGACTTAGCCCCAAGGCCCCACCCTGTGACTCCCCATCTCAGCCTCTGCCCTCACCCCCCTCCAACCTAACCTCCAAGAAGACCCACTTCACCCTCCTCTCTGGACTGCCTCCTACCCCCATAAAAAGGTCCTGGGGACTGACCTGGTCTAGTTTTCCAGAGGTGGCCAGGAGTTTAGGTGGGTGAGTGGGCTCACGGTACTGTGGTGGAGCCTTGTCACTACCGCCGCTGCTGCTGCTGCCACCACTGCTGCCTACCACGTTGCCGCAGACATCTGTATGGTCACTTCCCCGCAGCTCGCCATTGAGGTAGAGGGAGTTGGCGAGAGCCTTGTCCTCTGAGGGGTAGCGGCTGGGCCTCTCCCTGCTGGCCCCACTGCCACTGCCTCGGGGGCCAGGAAAACTGCTCTGGCTGCCCCCACCCCCTGTACGGGTGCCCACGCTCTTCATGGCAAACTCCTGGGCATGGGCCACCCCACTGCCCATGCTACCCATGGCAAGGCGAGGGTCTGGGGGGCCGAGCTCAGAGGGCCGCGGGGCAAAGGCCAGGAGAGGATCCCGCCCTGGATCAGCGCGCACGGGCAGTGTCTCCAGCTTCGCCATGATTAAGCCAGGGGGGCACTGTGGGCACAGGTGGGAAAACAGACGGTCAGGAGCCACCCCCACCACCTCACACCCTGTCCCTCAGTGTCCCCTTCTCTAAATGGCTATGAGAGTTCCCAGACACCCAAGGTGAGGGAAAGGTGCTCGGGAACTGCGAGAGCTTGGTAACAAGAGCTGCCAGTGACCAGCCAGGCAAAGCCCTACCCCCAGGGTAGCATGCACGTATCCTCCCAGCTCTGCCCAGCTCAGCTCTGCCATCCTCAACTCCCACTCAAGCCCACCTCTTCATGAGCCTCCCAGACTCAGTGACCCCCTCAACTCTTAGTTACAAAACCCAGAAAGTAGGGGTTCCTATATTCCAACATCTAGGACTGGGGAGATGGGACTGGAAGGGGTCAGCCTTATCTGAATCCATTAGGGAGCCTAAGAAGTTACCTTAACCCACCCCAATCCCAACATTGTGGCTAGGGGTTCCTCCCTGCCCCCTAACCTAGGGTGTTGCAGTCAAGGGCAGAAGTGGAGGCTCGCTACCAGCACAGGCTCTTCTTGCCTTTTCGAGGGGCTGGAGGGAGGCCGACGGGTCTTAAGCCTGATGTCCTCGGAGGCCCGGTCTGCGGGGCCCACGTGCCTCACTCTCGCAGTCGGGGCTGCGCCCGAACCAGCTGCGCGACTCTGCACCGACCGACTGAGCCATCGCGGACCGCAGTTTTCTCCTCTGCGAAATGGGAGCAAAGGGACCTACCTCGAGGAGCCGCCGCGGGCCAGGTGCCCCGAGGCGGCGGGCACGGGAGGGGCCCGAGGTCGTGGGGTGGGGGGTGGCGGGGGCGGGAGCTGCCATTACGCTGCTCATCTGGGTCGCTAGTGGGCGCCACCGCCGGCACGCCCTGCCCCCAACGGGCCCTCGGGGGCCGCGGCTGCAGCGCGCGCCCGGGGGCCCTTCCGGAGGTCACCCCGACTCTGCCGCGAGGGGCCCCGGCGCCAGAGGGCCCCCTCCGCTCGGCCAGGGCCTCGGCAGAGGGCCCCCAGCTGGCTGACACTGAGCAGAGGGCGCGGAGTCGCCAGGGGCGGGCGCCGGCCGTGCCTCCCTCCCCACTAGAGGTTCCCACAGGTGGGCGGGGGGGGGGGGGGGCGGGGCCTGCGCACCCACCGCGCCCGAGGGGACTCCGCGCCCCCGAACCCTGCTAAGAATTCGTTGCCACCGGGAAGACTTCCTGGATTACTCCCCCTCCTCCCAACCCCCTCCCCCGTGGACCTTGACCCTGCTCAGTTCACGGTGAATGCCTTTGAGCCCTTCCGTGGGTGTGCGCCCCTCCTCCCCCAAGGCCGGCCCACAGGAGCAGGGGGGAGCAGAGCAAGCAGGGCCTCCGGTTACCTGTGCTCAGGGAGGCCCCGCTTCCTGGTTCCTTTGTCTCAAGTCCGCACCTGGGAACACCTGCCTCAGAGATCCGCATAATCCAGCTGGTCAGGGACAGCAGGCAGTGCCTGCTGCGGGTGTAGACACTCAAATACACTTGCCAGAGATGGCAGGGAGCTCCCTTCAGGTGTTTACCCCCTACTCCCATCAGAAATCACGCCGGGAGTGCTCCTTTTTCCACCAAAGTGAAGGGGACCCGGTGGCACCCCACCACGCTTTGAACTCTTTGGATGGTCTTCCGTCCAGATGCCCACTTCTAGTCTTGTGTCCTAGTCCTATCAGGCCCCAGGGCAGGGATGCCTGACAAAACGACAGAACTCTTGCCCTTCAGGATTCTTCAGGCCACCACACTGGAATAACAGCCCGAGGTGGTTAGAAGTTCACCACCAACCTACTGCTTCTGTAAAATTCCATTCTTTCAGTGCCTCCCCCACCCCCCTTGTGGAGCACGGCACTTTACCACTTTCCTCCCTTGGGCCAATCTTTTCCCACATGTAGGGTCCAGACTAGAGTGAAGCAAGAGAGGCACTTGGGGCGCAATTTATGTGCAGGATCAGCAAGTGCACAAAGCGGGCAGTGAGTGCCTCCTACAGTTATATCCTGGGTGCCCAACTTGACTCACCCTAGCCCCTGCTCTGTCTCCTCTCCCGGCATACTCCAGCCTGGCTCTCCCTCAGCACAGAAATCCCCTTCCCACCCTAAGTGTGACCCACTTCTCTTGCCAGCTCTGGGTGCAATGGTGCATCCTGGGTGGCCAGAGATTTGAAACCAGTGGGAAGTCCTGGACAGGGTTTGGAAAACTAGCAAAATGTCTTATTGATGGGGTCCTGGAGGTGGGTGCAGGAGAAATCTGGGCTAGGGCACCAGGGTGGATGTGACACCCTTAACATAACAGGGGGATAATGGGGTGCTTTGGGGCAGATCAGAGAAAGATATCTCTCACGTACTGGATGGAAAGAAAGACTGGGATCATTAGCATTCAGGGGTAGTGTGGGTGGGGCAAGCATTGACTAGGGTGGCAGAGCCCCACGAATCTGAGAAACAGTGTGGGAGCAGAGAAAAGGCCAGGAGAAGGCAGTCTTGAGACCAAGATGAGGGGTAGAGGGAGTGTCAAGAATGTGGAGGCAGCCCCAGTGTTAAAAGGTGTCAGCGGAAACTGGGATTGGAGAGTGTGCCCTGGATTGGGCAGGTGGAAACATCACTGGTGTCCATGAGAGGACTGTTTTGGAAAGTGCTCCAAGGCAAAGCAAGACTATAGGGGTCAAGGAGTCTGGAGGGAAAGATGGGAAAGAGAAAGGGAAAGATGAGAGAAGGCCCAGGAAGGAAGTCATTTAGGTAGTTAGGAATCCAAGGGCTCTTTTCTAATTTAATGCACTCATGGTAGAAACCTGAGTGTGTTGATATGCTGAGGGGAGGAGCCAAGGGTGAGATTAGAGATCTAGGCAAGGGGGTTGTGACAGGGGCCCAGATGTGAGCAGGAACAAACCTCAGAAGTGGTCATGGTAATTGCTAGAGTGCCAGGGGTAGTGTTTGGGAAGAACCCTGGTAAGCTGTAAGGTGCAGCACAAACATGCAGTACCACCTTGTCTGAGATGCAGAAAGGAGACTCTTACCATAGGCTGAGGTTAGTCGTATGCCACACTGCCCACTGCTTCCCTGGAGTGTGTGTGCCCCAGCCAGGCTCAGATGCCCCAGTCCTGGATGGAAATGAGGTCCCAGTACTGTCTTCTGAGCCTCCTTTGCCCAAGGTCTGCCTGGCGAATCCTTGACTGCCAACCCACAGCTGCTTTCCCTGGAGCCTCACACCCTACAGAGCTGCTTTCCAAATTCTAACCTGTAATGGTAAAGTATTCTCTGCACCTTGTCTCTCCCCAGCTTGGGCTCTGGCAGTTTCTTTTCCCAAAATCTGGGCAGGCAGCTAGCAGGACAAGGAAGGGATGTTCTCAAGAAACTGAGCTCAGAGGAAGGGCTGGAGCTTGGTCTCTGGGTGAGGGTGCTGGCCAAAGTACTAAGTGTGGTATACAATGTCGGCCTCATGGTATGAGGGGGTGTTGTCATCCCAACAACCTGGGATGGCAGTCTGTTGCCTGGTGGGCCCATCAACCCTTCATGCTTGGGACATCAGTACAATCACAAAGGGGGCCAATAGACATTACATGGGGGGTTATAGGGGCAGGGCCCTCCAACCTACAGTGACCATCCAGCCCATCAGTGCCCTCTCCCGCCCCCCATATAGCTAGGGACACTTCTCTCTTCTCTCAGGGTCTCAAAGGCCCCAAGCCTAGCCCATTCACCCCTAAAGATCTCTGCAGCCCCTCCTGCCAGCATTTTGCTGGGGGCTGGCTCCTCACTGGGCTATTCTGTCCTGTACTCCCTCCCTGACACAGCTGCCAGGGGACTCTTTCTAAAGGTAAAGCCCACCTTGTCCCTGTTCTGCCCAAATTATTCTATGAGGGGAGCCAAGTGCGGTGGACAGAGTTCTGGAGGCATCATCTCCAAGTGTAAATCCCAGCTGCCTGAACAGGGGTGGAGCCGCTCACAGGTTATTTCACCTTGGGTTTTCACACCTACCTTACAGGAATCTTAAGTAAATGTGTTGTGTGAAATGCCTGGCATTCCTCTCAGGCTCCAGACCAGAGAAGAGCTTCCAGAAGGGCTCCCAAGGCCTCTCCTGTGGTGCACCCTATTTCCCTTGGCCTGGACCCGTTGACACTCTACACAATATTTGCGCAGCTCTGTGCCCATCCTGCAGCCTTCAAGGACCAAGTCAAAGGCTGCCTCCCAGGAAAGCATCCCATGGTCTCTAGAGGGGAGGGGTCTTGTAGCACTTGGCTTAGCACACTCCAGGGACATTTCACTCTGAGGCTTTCCCAGGCCGACTTGTGGGTGCCCCAGGGGACAGATGGCAGAGTCTCAGAGGTCTCTGGGCCCTGGCACCGAGGAGATGCAGAAAGAATGCACATGCAAATGCTAGTAAGCAATGTAAAGAGGCAGTGTATCTGGACAGGGAAATCAGAAGGGGCTTCCAGGAAGAAAAACTGAGGGAGGAAGGACTGGGGAGAGCATCATAAGGCTTTTGGGGGTGGGGAGGTCTCCAGAACTTCTTGGTTGGGATGTATGAGGGGAGATTCATCTTCCCTTGGCGAAAACGGGGTAAGGGGTCCATCTCCTAGATTTTGGCTCTAATGATGCCAATGTTTCAGGACTGAGGGAGCTGATAGCGCCCCCCCCCCCATCTCACACACACGCGTGCACACACGAGCCTCCGCACAGGGAGGGGGGAGGTGATGAGGGTTCGCCATTCACCAGCATCCCACGGCCCACAGCACCAACAAATAGAAAGCCGGACCACAGGACGTCCCGGGGAGGTGCCCGCAGGTCTCTGCGGTGGGGGAAATACTGCCCGCACCTCCCCACCAACGTGTGTGGCCCCGGGGGGCGGGGCGCAGAGGGAAGAGGTGACATAATCCGGGCCGCACCCCCTCCGGCCGCCACCTCCCCCAGGCCCGGCGAAGCATCCATGACATCATCGGCCTCATCTCCGTTCCCCTCCCCCCCGGGACCCCAGCTGCGGGACGCGCCCCCTCCCCAGCCTCGGGTCTGGGCGCACCCGGCGCGCGGTGCAGCGGGCACGGCGGCCAGTCGGGGCGGGCAGGGGCGCCAGGGCGGGCCGGCCTCACTTACTCGTTGCCGCGGGGTCCGGCGCGGGGTCTCCGGCGCGGGCGCTACCTGCTCGGCTCGCTGGCGCAGCCCGAAGCCCGCCCGGCGGGGCGCGAGGCGCGGGCCCGGCTCGGCTCCGCGCCCCTCCCGCTCCCCGCCCGGCCCCGCCCACCCGCGGCTGCGGCAAACGCGGGCCCGCCCCGGCCACGCCCCCCCGGGCCGCCAATCCCCGGGCTGGGCGGGGCGCGGCGCCTTAACCCCTGGGTCGCCGCGCCCTCGCCGGCGCGTGGGACCCCTGCTTTACCCGATCCGGGCTCCGTGCGTCTCCCCGAGTCCCTCTGCCTCTTGCGCTCAGCCTCCAGTTTCTTCTCTCCAGCAGATCCCGCTGGGCCGCGCCCTCCCTGAACCCCGTATCTGTGGCAATACGGAGGCGCCCCTCTGGCTTGAGGAAGGGGCTCGCACGCCCCCCCTGGGGTGCCCCAAGCTCTCTCCCGCCTCGGCGGACGCGGCTCCCCGCTCACGCCGCGAGACGGCGAGTCTGCAGGTGGGGCGGGGCCGGCTCGCAGGTGCAGGTGGGTCCTGCTCCGCCGAGGGGACGCCAGCCCCGCGCGGGGACCCCTCCCTGCCGGGCGGGCGGGAGGCTTGGGGGGGCCGCGACTCCGTCCGCCAGCAGACGGGGCGGGTATGAAACTTGGTGTTCGTGGAGGCTCACCGCCCGGGAGGGGGAACAGGGTGGGGGTGGCGGATGAGGTGATGGCGAGCTGCTGAGAAAAAGATGTGTTACGTTCCAGTCCTGCAGGGTTTGTTTTCTCCTTGCGCCTTGCACCCCGAGGCCTGGGCCCGGCCCCCGCGCTGCCTCGCCGGAGGAGGGGGAACGGGGTAACTTCGTCCCTGACCCCCGGCACCTGCTTCCCAAGCATTTGCCGCGTAATGTTCGGAGAGTGCCTGGAAGGGCTGCCGGGAGCAAGAAGTCGCTTTGGAATTTAGGCCTAACCCTTGAATGGGCCGGGGAAGCAAACCAGACCTTAGAAAAAGAGAGATTAAGGTTCTCCAGGTTTAGAAAAACCTGGAGGCATAAAGGATCTAACCTAAAAATCGTGGCACCTCTACTCCAGCTGGGGTTTAACCCATGGCATCTCTGCTGCTGTACTTGATTTGTTTTGTCCATCGTCCTCCTATTTTAGTTTTTATTTCTTGCTATTTCCTGTTTTCTGAAATTTTCCATGTTTGCTTTTATCTTCTATAGTGATTTGCAAGGCAGAAAGCCTGTTTTTAATCCTCTTGGTGGTCGGTCTTTCATCGTACCAAATAAAAATACGGCTTATATTTA